AGTTTCAGTAAGTTCCCAATGAAAACATATTTTTATGAAAAGTTGGAAATAATGTGTGTGTGTGTGTGTGTGTGTGTGTGTGTGTGTGTGTGTGTGTGTGTGTGTGTGTGTGTGTGTGTGTGTGTGTGTGTGTGTGTGTGTGTGTGTGTGTGTGTGTGTGTGTGTGTCTGTGTGTGTGTGTGTCTGTGTCTGTGTCTGTGTCTGGGGAAAACCACCCTAAAAGTCTCGCGCTACGTACACCCGCACGATCAGTTGTGCCTACACTTCATTACTTTCCTGGATACGCCCCTGAAGAACACAACACTTCCTTGTATCAGTTCAGAACATCCCAGTGTGTTGGATATATATGTAGTACCAGTATCACACCAGTTGTACAAGTGTTGTATACAGTTGTGTCCTACCACTATCCTGGAACCCAGCACATGTTTCAAGCATGTCAACTGTTGGTCGCGCCAATAATATAGGGATTTGCATAAAGCAGGACACTGGAATCGGCGAATCTAAATGAGTCCATGTTGTTGATGAGTGAAGAAATCAATTTAATAAAACTGGTTTGGGATTTTTGTAGTAGAAAGGTCAGCAAATTTGAGGAATATATACAAGACGTCCATGTTCCATGCCACTAAAAGACTCAGGGAACTATTCTTAGATTGATCATACGAAACAGAAGAAAATAATTTTATGAAACAGTGCTTAAACTTTAATACAAAAAAATGTCCCAAAACATGTTCAAGATCCTTAACTTGTTTAGTATGATCTAGCACTCTATGACGTCACGTGCTTGTGTTAACATGTACTCGTGATATAGTATGATCTAGCACTCTATGACGTCCCGTGCTTGTGTTAACATGTACTCGTGATATAGTATGATCTAGCACTCTATGACGTCCCGTGCTTGTGTTAACATGTACTCGTGATATAGTATGATCTAGCACTCTATGACGTCCCGTGCTTGTGTTCACATGTACTCGTGATATAGTATGATCTAGCACTCTATGACGTCCCGTGCTTGTGTTAACATGTACTCGTGATATAGTATGATCTAGCACTCTAGACGTCCCGTGCTTGTGTTAACTGTACTCGTGATATAGTATGATCCTATGACGTCCCGCTTGTGTTAACATGTACTCGTGATATAGTATGATCTAGCACTCTATGACGTCCCGTGCTTGTGTTAACATGTACTCGTGATATAGTATGATCTAGCACTCTATGACGTCCCGTGCTTGTGTTAACATGTACTCGTGATATAGTATGATGATCTAGCACTCTATGACGTCCCGTGCTTGTGATATAGTTCACATGTACGTCGTGATATAGTATGATCTAGCACTCTATGACGTCCCGTGCTTGTGTTAACATGTACTCGTGATATAGTATGATCTAGCACTCTATGACGTCCCGTGCTTGTGTTAACATGTACTCGTGATATAGTATGATCTAGCACTGTATCACGTCCCGTGCTTGTGTTAACATGTACTCGTGATATAGTATGATCTAGCACTCTATGACGTCCCGTGCTTGTGTTAACATGTACTCGTGATATAGTATGATCTAGCACTGTACTCGTATAGTACGTCCCGTGCTTCCCGTGTTAACATGTACTCGTGATATAGTATGATCTAGCACTCTATGACGTCCCGTGCTTGTGTTAACATGTACTCGTGATATAGTATGATCTAGCACTCTATGACGTCCCGTGCTTGTGTTAACATGTACTCGTGATATAGTATGATCTAGCACTCTATGACGTCCCGTGCTTGTGTTAACATGTACTCGTGATATAGTATGATCTAGCACTCTATGACGTCCCGTGCTTGTGTTAACATGTACTCGTGATATAGTATGATCTAGCACTCTATGACGTCCCGTGCTTGTGTTAACATGTACTCGTGATATAGTATGATCTAGCACTCTATGACGTCCCGTGCTGTGTGTATAACATGTACTCGTGATATAGTATGATCTAGCACTCTATGACGTCCCGTGCTTGTGTTAACATGTACTCGTGATATAGTATGATCTAGCACTCTATGACGTCCCGTGCTTGTGTTAACATGTACTCGTGATATAGTATGATCTAGCACTCTATGACGTCCCGTGCTTGTGTTAACATGTACTCGTGATATAGTATGATCTAGCACTCTATGACGTCCCGTGCTTGTGTTAACATGTACTCGTGATATAGTATGATCTAGCACTCTATGACGTCCCGTGCTTGTGTTAACATGTACTCGTGATATAGTATGATCTAGCACTCTATGACGTCCCGTGCTTGTGTTAACATGTACTCGTGATATAGTATGATCTAGCACTCTATGACGTCCCGTGCTTGTGTTAACATGTACTCGTGATATAGTATGATCTAGCACTCTATGACGTCCCGTGCTTGTGTTAACATGTACTCGTGATATAGTATGATCTAGCACTCTATGACGTCCCGTGCTTGTGTTAACATGTACTCGTGATATAGTATGATCTAGCACTCTATGACGTCCCGTGCTTGTGTTAACATGTACTCGTGATATAGTATGATCTAGCACTGTATCACGTCCCGTGCTTGTGTTAACATGTACTCGTGATATAGTATGATCTAGCACTCTATGACGTCCCGTGCTTGTGTTAACATGTACTCGTGATATAGTATGATCTAGCACTCTATCACGTCCCGTGCTTTTGTTAACATGTACTCGTGATATAGTCTGAATTGTACAATCGGCTCTGTTTTTACAAAAGATTCCTTATGCATGTTGAAAAGGTTTTGTCGTTTCAATATTTTCAAACGACATACCACAGAAAGTTAGCATAGTGCCTGCCAGCAAAGATATTACATATGACGTCATCGTGTCAACATGAGTAGCTTTGCACTGTGGACAGATATTGGAATCTCCTTCAGGCATAACCTATTGAAACTGTGTGCATCACCAAACGACGTGGATAAGGGGTATTATCGTTCGACCATATTACATCTGATGTTAATTATTAAGTAACACACGTCCTTACAGCCAGGGTATACTGATCGTATACTGACCACTGATGTATAATGTCCTACAGCTAACGCCCAATCTCTGCATCAGTTGTGCAAATCGAGATGGGGAGATAGAGATGCGGGTATATATACACTGACTATTTCTGTGTAACGCATCGACCATTGACCGCAGACCGCCGGTCATAGCGAATACAGCTTTAAAGGTACCTCTGATCTTTCTTCCCAATACGGCATTGAACGTCGGAGAAAGTAGGTAAATATCGAAGTCTGCTAGAACCCATGTACTAGTACTAGTACTTTCTGACAGTAATCACGGGTCATCTAATCAACCATACTTTCACATGTCACATTTCATGTGTTTATGAGGTGTTCTGTGTATCTTGTATCCTTCCAAGCTTAAAGAGTTGAGTCGCATGTTTCTTATTGTTTAGTAAATGAACATTATATTCTGGTATCTCTTTTATACATCGTCTTGTTACATTTTATAATGAAAATGTTTTGGTTTTTAATAACCTTCCCTATCCATAAAGGTCATCGTAAAGATACGGATGACCCGTCTAATTACAGATGTCTTACCGTCACTCCTGTATTAAACGTTTAGAAAGGCCTCTGAAGAACAGAAATGAAGAGTGGGCAATCAAATCTAAAGGCTTTCCCAAGCCATTTCAATTTAGATGTAGGAGAGGTGCAGGTGCAAAAACTACTACTTGAAAGCATAGGTTATCTAAACGAAAGGCAATCTCCAGTTTATTGCGCTTATCTCGATAGTGAGAAAGCTTTCGGGTTTGGCTTAATGGTATATTTTCAGATTGTAAAAGTTTGGTATTAATTGACAATAATGGAGACTATCATAAACTTCAATGAATCCATGTGTAAGTATTGGCGGTTTTACGCCAAATGTGTTTCATATCAAACAAGGTGTTGGTCAAGGTCGCGTCCTATCACCATGATTATTTACGATGTATATCAATGACGTGTCAGGGCGTGGGTTGTATCTCCAATGAAGTAATACACCCGCCATGCATGTTAGCAAATGATACTTCTTTGTCAGGAAACTGTCACGACGGACTGCAATGTGTGATTATTGTTATATGAACATAATGGTGGTTTGTTTTAACCATATTAACAAAAACATTAGAACATAATATATGAAACACTCGGATTTTTCGTCAATACACATTATAATCATGGTCTATACGTTTGTGGTCTAAATCTTTTCCCTGCTGTTCGTATAGGGGAAAGTGGAATATGGCAATGTAGATTATAAGCTTGCATTGTAAGGAGTAGACTGTCATCTAAGGAATACGAAATGTTTGCAGTTATCCCAGGATTGTCTAGACGCAATTCTTCCGTAATGAAACATAATGAAAGACTCTGTTGTAAGATCATTTGGGGAAAACCGGATCTCATTTCACTGAGAGTATTTGTTATGCCTGAGCACTTGCAGTTTATAATGTGGCACATGTGTACATTGTATTGTAAAAGATCTATGTGTGTATATATGTATTGTATATTATGTTATGCTGTATATTATGTAATATAAATCATGTTTTAACCATGCTTCTTTCATCCTTGGCTTCGCGTGACTAAGCAGCTATCTACGATGGTGCAATTACAAGGGTTTGTCTGTAAAAAACAATTTCAATGCGTACATATGTCTGTAATTACTTGCACCTATATTACGAGGTAAATACCACTATTAAAGCATTCAAGCTCCACCGAGTCGCTGGAACCCGCACATCGGACACTTACATATCTACCCGTGGGCAGCCCGCACTGGGCACACGCACCTACTTCCCAATACAGTCCTTCTATAAATATTCCTCCATAGTCATTATGTGGCGATTGTTATTTGTAATAAAAATCTGAGGAATTTGGATTTTATCATTTGCAGGTGTTTGGGGGTCCAATTAGAGCATTATCGACAAACACAACCATTTAAACTGTATTATTATGTTATGAAGTTCTTTAAAACAGTTATTTTTTATTTCTTCAAATAAGAGTATATAAACATTTGAAGTTGTTGTATATCTACGTGTTCTGTGGATCGGGGTGAGCTAAGAAGCACGGAGTCTGAAGACGTGTTTGCTACAAGTCGCTGTGGTTGGTTCTTCTTTGTGTTCGAGAGTTGTAAGCTGAATCTTTTCTTGTGTTCGAGAGTTGAATGATGAATCTATATCTTATGTTCAAGAGTTGAATGATGAATCCATATCTTGTGTTCGAGGGTTGAAAGATGAATCTTATCTTGTGTTCGAGAGTTGAATGATGAATCTATATCTTGTGTTCGAGGGTTGAATGCTGAATCTTATCTTGTGTTCGAAAGTTGAATGATTAATCTACATTTTATGTTCGAAAGTTGAATGATGAATCTATATCTTGTGTTCGAGAGTTGAAAGATGAATCTATATCTTGTGTTCGAAGGTTAAATGCTGAATCTTATCTTGTGTTCGAGAGTTGAATGATGAGTCTATATCTTGTGTTCAAGAGTTGAATGCTGAATCCTATCTTGTGTTCGAGAGTTGAATGATGAATCTATATCTTGTGTTCGAGAGTTGAATGATGAATCTATATCTTGTGTTCGAAGGTTAAATGCTGAATCTTATCTTGTGTTCGAGAGTTGAATGATGAATCTATATCTTGTGTTCAAGAGTTGAATGCTGAATCCTATCTTGTGTTCGAGAGTTGAATGATGAATCTATATCTTGTGTTCGAAGGTTAAATGCTGAATCTTATCTTGTGTTCGAGAGTTGAATGATGAATCTATATCTTGTGTTCAAGAGTTGAATGCTGAATCCTATCTTGTGTTCGAGAGTTGAATGGTGAATCTATATCTTGTGTTCGAATGTTAAATGCTGAATCTTATCTTGTGTTCGAGAGTTGAATGATGAATCTATATCTTGTGTTTTTGAGAGTTGAATGATGAATCTATATCTTATGTTCGAGAGTTGAATGCTGAATCTTATCTTGTGTTCGAGAGTTGAATGATTAATCTACATTTTATGTTCGAGAGTTGAATGATGAATCTATATCTTGTGTTCGAGAGTTGAATGATGAATCTATCTATCTTGTGTTCGAGAGTTGAATGATGAATCTATATCTTGTGTTCGAGAGTTGAATGATGAATCTATATCTTGTGTTCGAGAGTTGAATGATGAATCTATATCTTGTGTTCGAGAGTTGAATGATGAATCTATATCTTGTGTTCGAGAGTTGAATGATGAATCTATATCTTGTGGTCGAGAGTTGAATGATGAATCTATATCTTGTGGTCGAGAGTTGAATGATGAATGCTTATCTGTTCACGTGTTCGTTGTTTCTAATCAAAGGCTGACTGTCGAATGAGAAGTTATAAATTTATCCGTATGACTTGTTCGAGACGTTCTGTGTCAGTTGCACGTATTGATGTGTAGAGGGTAAATTCTTAATGATATTTGTTCAGTCCTTTTGATTTCCTCGACGACATGTTTGTTGGGTGCTAAATATTTCTTCGGTTATATTTTGTTTTTTATGTGTGTTGTTTTATAGTTTGAACGCTTCGATTCTTCCAACCTCCTGAACGTCATGAAGTTCGGCTTTACCGTCGCCGTAGTCGTCGTTGTTGTTCTGCTGTTGACGCATGTGGAGTCTAAACGACGGACCAGGAAGAGGAAAAACAGGCCAAAGAATTATGTGGTTTGTAACCCGAAATAGTTCTATTGTTGTAAAAATGTTTTTATAATCTATATGTTATGAGACATTTACCAATGTGAAATACTATATCATTTATAATAAATATAATTAAAACGGGCGTTTACGTCAATAATTTTATTGAACGAAAATTGATATAAGTTAAAACTATAAATTAGCCCTTTGGCATAACTATGACAAAATTGATGATAATTAATGATAAAATTGAGTAGCATTTCCCATACGCACACGCACTTGCACACTCACAACTACACTTACTACAGCTGCTACATGTCAATGAACTAATGTTGTGTTTCGTAGCTGCCACGTTATGAGGAGGCTCCAGGCGTCCCTGACTACGTCTCCAACTTCCTCGTCCACGGTGTCGTTGACCACTATCGCCACCCGGTGAGTCAAAGAAACACCCCAGCCCTATCTCTCCCGAAATCGCGATTACCGTAAATGTTCACGTGAATGGCTAACCTATGTATGACAGTAAGCCACGTCGGCGTATATCGCCTGTTATCATGTGCAGTGTCATGTTTATGATGATAGTTATTATTTCCCTGACAGCCCAAGGTCAACCACAGAGACGGTGGGGCTAAGGAGGCGGAGATACAACGCGAGGTAGGAGGCGACGTCGGATAACGTCACTGTTGATGACGTTGTTAACAGTTAACATGTGGTAGCGTGTGGTCCTGTGCACAGAGCTCAGGTCACAAATCAGTTGAAATTAAGCAAGCTCGAGCTCGGGGAGTCCTTGGATGGGTGACAGTGTTTGGCTACTTGACTACTGAGAGTTTCTGGGACGTTAGTCCTGTCCCACAACGAAGCACATGTACAGAATTGCCTCTGTTCACCCAGCAGAAAGTGGGTACCTGGTGGAAAAGTCATGTGACTATAACCTTCTAGTGCCTAACAGGCAGCTTGGGTTATCCGGGGTTTAGTCTCTATTCGCCTACATCTCAATTGGTATTTTGATGTATTCGTAGGTAACATAATACATTTGTCCTGAAGATCCCCCATTTAGGGCCTCGTCGCGGCTGGTCACCTTACCAAGTTGAAGTGAGATTCTACCATGCCTTCAGTAAATACTGAAGTCATTCAGAGGTATATAATCACGTTATATACCTCTGATTTTCCAGTACAGTATGTATTTTTTTTAATCTTAATAACACGGCTATGGTACAATGGAGATAACATTATAATAGCTCTAAATTTTGTGTTTAAAACTCCCGCTACGCGTAGGGTTTTTCATTCAAATTTAGAGCTATTACAATTTCGTTATCATCATTTAATTCTCCAACACAGTATGTTTATCTGCTAAATGGACATCTGCACAAGTTAACTTCCTTAATACTAATATGATATGACGTGAATTTATGATTTGATGTGAATATCATTGTGATCGGAAAATGACAAATAACAGAATAAATAAATAACAGACAAATAACAGAAATTAATTCTTTTTGTCCTTCAACTACTTCAACTAGAAGAGTCCGCTTTTAGATCATAGGGGTGCCACTAGTTTACCATTGCGAAATCAAAAGTCAACAGACCATGAAATGTTGTTTTAAGACTGTAGGTGAATTGGGATGTAGGCGAAATGAGAACATGCCTTATTATCCGAGGTAATAATGTGCTGTGCTGTTGATTGTTAGAGCTATGAACATACCTAGTGTGGAGTTTGGCGCTATATAATGGACACATTATTATTGATGTGCATCATGATATCATTTTGTTAAAGTCTTTAAGCGAGAAATGACACCTGAGGCAAATTATTTAAACACGTGTTTAGTTGTTTGACAATTACAAACAATACCTTTTGGGTGTATAGAAGTAAAAACTGCCAAAAATAATTCGGCTAGACAATCAAGTCCCGTTTAGTCACATGAAGCTTGTTTATTAAAGGATGAATGAATCCCAACTCATTCAGCAGTATTACAGCTATATCTCTGCCGACTAAAAATAATCCAGTCAACACAATCTATATAGACTTGATATGGGCTTGAAATAATCACATTCTCGTTTGTTCCTGTAACATGAAGACGTTTGAGATGAAGCGACGACAGCACGGTGAAAAGGGGAAGAAACGTAGCGTGACGTCACAGCTGCTGTCTCGAGAGAGACGTTTCGTTGATAGCAAGTCGCCAATCTGGACCAATGGAATTGTGCCATATGAATTTGGCAATATTAGTACGTATTGTACTTAAACTGTAGTCCTAAAAAGCAATTCACCTTTCAATGTGTAAACAGTGTTTGACCTGCACATCGTTAAGTGTTTCAAAAGTCAGCTGACAATACTTCAGAGGAGCCTCTGTATAACGCTGCTTGTATACCTGTGTCACTGTGTGTCTACGCCGGGTTCGATTCCCCACATGGGTACAATGTGTGAAGCCCATTTCTGGTGTCCCCGCCGCGATAAGGCTGGAATATTGCTAAACACTCACTCACTCACTCACTCACTCACTCACTCACTCACTCACTCACTCACTCACTCACTCACTCACTCACTCACTCACTCACTCACTCACTCACTCACTCACTCACTCACTCACTCACTCACTCACTCACTCACTCACTCACTCACTCACTCACTCACTCACTCACTCACTCACTCACTCACTCACTCACTCACTCACTCACTCACTCACTCACCACTCACTCACTCACTCACTCACTCACCACTCACTCACTCACCACTCACTCACTCACTCACTCACTCACTCACTCACTCACTCACTCACTCACTCACTCACTCACTCACTCACTCACTCACTCACTCACTCACTCACTCACTCACTCACTCACTCACTCACTCACTCACTCTGTGTCTACAGCCACCTCCCAGCAGGCCACGGTTCTCCGAGCCATCGCCACCATAGAGGAATACACCTGCATCCGCTTCTTCGTGAAAGGTTCCCCCGGATACAGCGTCCCCCACACTAACTACCTTCTCTTCATCAAAACATCGTCGTAAGTCGTACCTCTCATCAGTCTTATTAAAGCAACGATATAACCATACATAATGCTACGAATTGATACGTATCATGCTACGACAAATGAGTGCTGTGTCACAGGCGGATCCAGAGATGGGTGGGGGTCCTGAAAGTTAATTAAAGTACCATTGAAACTCTCGTGCAAAATGAAGTGTGCTCCCCCTCACAGTACGTGTGGTGCTGACTGTCATGCTGTTGTTGTTGTTACAGTTGCTGGTCGTACATCGGGATGCATCACGACCCACAGTACATCTCCCCCTGCTACAACTTTGTGAGTAGGCCAGAACCACCCTAACAACAATCACAATCCATTGCATGTCTCCAGTCCATTGGGACGATGGGGTACCCTAGCAACAATCATAATCCATTGCATGTCTCCAGTCCATTGGGACGATGGGGTACCCTAGCAACAATCATAATCCATTGCATGTCTCCAGTCCATTGGGACGATGGGGTACCCTAGCAACAATCATAATCCATTGCATGTCTCCAGTCCATTGGGACGATGGGGTAGCCTAGTGGTTAAGCGTTCACGCCGAGAACCCGGGTTCGATTCCCCACATGGGTACAATGTGTGAAACCCGTTTCTGGTGTCTCCCGCCGTGATATTGCTGGAATATTGCTAAAAGCGGCGTAAAACCCAACTCAATCACTGACGCACTCACTCACCCACTCAGACGAGTAGAAACTACAGTTGCATACATGTGCGTTTGTACTGAAATGTTGTCTATTTCAGTTAACCGTTCTGCACGAGATCATCCACGCGCTTGGAGCATGGCACGAGCATCAACATTACGAGCGACACCAGCATCTGCAGTATTTACCCAACAACGTCCAGAGCGGTCAGTCCCTCTGATTGCTAGCTTCCGTATGTTTGCGTGCGTACGAGCATGCCCGCGTGTGTATGAGCGTGCGTACGAGCATGCACGGGCGAGACAATACATGTATTTGGGGGTTTCAAGGTGTTTTGGTGGTTGGGGGTTACTAATACCATTAGTTGCAGTTGAGGAGTAGTAGTAGTAGTAGTAGTAGTAGTAGTAGTAGTAGTAGTAGTAGTAGTAGTAGTAGTAGTATTGTAGAACTAGTTGCAGTAGAAGTAGTAGCCGTAGTAGTAGTAGTAATAGAATCAGTAGAAGTAGGTCTGTAGATCTAGTTGCGAAAGTAGTAGTAGTAGCAGCAGCAGCAGCAGCTGTAGTAGTAGTAGTAGTAGTAGTAATAGTCGCTGCAGTAGTACTTTACCGTAGAACTAATTTTGATTGATTGTGTTTAGTTTTTTCAGCTGCTTTTAGCAATAATACGTCGGGGGGAGATGCGCTTCACACACTGTACGTATGATCGGGAAATCAAAATAGGGTGTGAGGAGCGAACGCTTTAACCGCTAGGCTACCCCCACCGCCCCAGAAGTAGCAGTAGTAGTAGTAGATCTAGTTCAGTAATAATCGTAGTAGTAGCAACAGCAGCAGCAGCAGCAGCAGTAGTAGTAGTAGTAGTAGTAGTAGTAGTAGTAGTAGTAGTAGTAGTAGTAGTAGTAGTAGTAGTATGGTAATAGGAGAAGTAGTGATTATAGTGGTGGTGATGATGATGGTGATTATAAGCTGTAGTAGCAGATGGGGGGGGGGGGGAGTTATTATCATCCGTCTTATCATCCTTGTCGTAATCTTTGCAATCATACACAGGTCTGGAGAATAACTTCATGCTGCCACCAGAATCCTGGAAGGACGACTTTGTGAACCTCCCTGTGGATCTGCAGTCAGTCATGATGTACGGAGACTATGTGAGTTCAGCTCTATGTTCATTTACACCACCGTTCAGATACAAATTAACCCCACTAACGGAAAATGGACCATTTATCTTCTGTGATGTAACAAATAAACATTCCCTTGCTTTGTAAAGGTAACTTGTGGACTCACCAACAAAAAGTATAATGGTCAATCTCTCAAACTGATAATGCGAGATTTGAGGAGGGATCAGTTTGGCAACCGATGTTTTATATATACTTGGAGCCATTCAATTTCTTCTTTCAGGACTTCTCCAAAGACAGATCCTCGAGGAAGACACTCGACCCGTATTCCGACGACGTCGCAGAGACCCGTGAAGACTACTGGATCGTGATGCACGAACTCACCATTGCCTATCAGTGTGCTTGTAAGTTGGAAATACAATGACAGTGTGCTTGTAAGTTGGAAATACAATGACAGTGTGCTTGTAAGTTGGAAATACAATGACAGTGTGCTTGTAAGTTGGAAATACAATGACAGTGTGCTTGTAAGTTGGAAATACAATGGCAGTATGTTTGTTAGTCGGACATTGCATTTCTTTGTGTTTATCAGCGGAACATTACCTGTGTTTTGAGTGAGCGAGTGAGTGAGTGAGTTTAGTTTTGCGCCGCACTCAGCAATATTCCAGCTATATGGCGGCGGTCTGTAAATAATCGAGTCTGGACGGGACAATCCAGTGATCAACAGCATGAGCATCGATCTGCGCAATTGGGAACCGATAACATGTTTCGACCACGTCAGCGAGCCTGACCACCCGATCCCGTTAGTCGCCTCTTACGACGAGCATGGGTTACTGAAGGCCAATATTCTAACCCGGGCCTTCACGGGTAACCTGTGTTTTAAAGTAGGTCATTGCCAGTATACTTTTGTAAGGTGAACATCGCCTTATTTGTGTGGTTTTTGTATCTTGGAAAACAATATTCATGTTGTATATACACGTTTAAATGTCACATGTATACCATCCCTCGATAACACAGATTGTAACTGATGTCTATCTCCCGTGTAGCCAGGTGCCCTGGGTCTCCACCAGTCTGCTCCAACGGAGGCTACCCCGGCATCTACAACAGCTCATGCACCTGCATCTGTCCTAAACTCCTCGACCCTGCAACATCGTGCACTACACTTCAGCCAGGAGGTACAAACACACTTATAACTCTCGACATTCTACTCACAGTCATGTGTTTCTCATCTAATATATTTGGCAGAATTCAGCTACCATTATTTGCGCCCGATACTGGTTCTCAATTTCTCTGCATTTAACACCTTCGTTCTGTGATACTAATAAGTACTCCATCGCAAATCCATCTTCAGTTTTGAATTCCATTAAACTACGAAATCAATACTTCACAAAGAATTTCTCTAGCACAAGAATAAAATGTAATGTGCCATCTATGTTTAGCACCTGACTTACATCAGGGGTATTTATGAGCATAAACTAGAGATTAATATATGTTAATGTCCGCCAGTAAGTACATCCCACACAGTTGTTCTCATAAGGTTTGTTCTACCTTCGGACACACCATGAAGTCATTCCTCAGATTCACTGCCCACACAGTTACCTCCCTTATTGACGTACAACACTCCTGTCAGACGCAGGACTGTTTAACGTCCGATATATTGTATAATGCTCCACTACATGAGATGGCTTCCAGTGCAGGGTGGTGTGTACTCGCTGACGCCCTCCAACCCGGAAGTGCAGTTCTCTACCCCGGGTGCCCCCGTCACGGGTGTTCCAGCCAACTCAAAGTACATGTGGATCTTCTGGGTACGTCCATGTCATCGGTTCATTTCACAGAACTTACAACATTCCCTTGTATATTTACATGTACAGATCCGTGAAGATCCGGGTTAGAATTGATCTTCAGTAACCGATGCTTGTCGTAAGAGGCGACTAACGGGATCGGGTGGTCAGGCCCGCTGACTTGGTTGACACATGTCATCGGTTCCCTATTGCGTAGATCGATGCTCATGCTGTTGATCACTGGATTGTCTGGTCCAGACTCGATTATTTACAGACTGCCACCATATAGCTGGAATATTGCTGAGTGCGGCGTAAAACTAAACTCACTCACATGTACGCCATCTATCTTTGCGGTGAATTTTATGTTTTCTTCCTACTACAATGAGAGAAGCCTTGATGGTATAGCGTTTCTCGTCACGTAGTTCTTTTTACGATATTTTCAACATATGTTCTCTTTAACTTGGACATAGTTATATCTAGGAGAATGTGTCTTTTTCCTGATGGCTATTACTGATGTTAAGAAACCCGACGGAATCACGTTCGGTCGTGACGTTAGTGTCTGGGGTTTGGCTCCACACATGACTTCACCGTTAGTAGCTGTTCTCGCTAAATGTTGCTGAAACCGGCATACACGTTTTAAAAATAATTTCAGAGCCGCATACAGATCCCTCGCTGATTACAAACATCTTATATATCTTATCTGATGCTTACTGTGTCAACTATTGTTTTGAAGCTAAGAACAGTTTATCCGTGATTGCAGGCGCCCAAGGATGGCTCCAAGATCGTGGTGGACATAGAGAATGTATTGGTAGCAGGCAGTAGCTCATCCTGCGTCTCCACGCTCCACATCTCCAGGGATCTGATCGGCCAATCAGGCAACGAGTTAGTATAATCTGTCTTCTACGACAGCCTTATGGTTCCGCTTTGGTAGCCTTTATTGACATACAGTGAATTATATACATTCTCATTATCAGAGATGTCAAAGTTCACCTTGGCATCACGACAGTGACGAGGCGACATGACATGACACGACAAGTTACATTGATAAAGAAAGTCATGTCATGACACTTACTGACATGGCAGGGAGAACGATAGCCAGCGAGAGGTTAGGCTGGACTTTTGAAATATGATATAACAAACTGACCACATATTGAACAATCATCTGATATTTCAACATTATATGTATAGTATCTGTCATGCAAAGAAAGTGTGTTTTTCTGCAGGTACTGCGGCTCTGGGTATGGTCAATCTATTATTTCCCTGGGCAATGTAGTGGCCATCGAGCTGGACGCCGGCACCGCCTCCAACAGCTACATCAAGGGTAACGCAACCCTACAACCAGGTAACGCCCAATCTGTAGATAGGTTACCAATACCTTGTAGCCAGGTAACTCCCACCCTGTAGCCAGATATGGGTTACCTGGCTACAAGATATGGGTTACTTGGTTACAAGGTGGGGGCAACCTGAGGTGGGGTTACTGGCTGACTAGAAGGTATGGGTTACCTGGCAGCCAGGTAACTCCCACACTATAGCCAGGTAACCCATACCTTGTAGCCAGGTGACTCCCACCCTGGTAACCCATGTGTAGCCAGGTGACCCCCACCCTGTAGCCAGATAACCCCACCCTGTAGCCAGGTAACCCTCGCCATGTAGCCAGGTAACCCCCACCTTGGAACCAGGTAACCCCCACCCTGTAGCCAGGTAACCCCAACCCTGTAGCCTGGTAACCCCCACCTTGTAGCCAGGTAACCCATATCTTGTAGCCAGGTAACCCATACCTTGTAACCAGGTAGCCCCCACCCTGCAGCCAGGTAACCCCCACCCTGTAGCCAGGTAATGAGAAACATATCAGTGAATCTCCCAAGCGTGATATTGATGAGTGTTCTGACAAACCCATATCTTGTCGCCAGGTAACCCATATCTTGTAGCCAGGTAACCCCAACCCTGTAGCCAGGTAACCCATATATTGTAGCCAGGTAACCCCCACCTTGTAACCAGGTAACCCATACTTTGTAGCCAGGTAACCCCAACGCTGTAGCCAGGCAACCCCCACCTTGTAACCTGGTAACCCATACCTTGTGACCAGGTAACCCCAACCCTGTAGATAGGTAACCCGCACCCTGCAGACAGGTAACCCCCACCTTGTAACGAGGTAACCCATATCTTGTAGCCAGATAGCCCCAACCTTGTAGCCAGGTAACCTAACTTGTAGCAACCTTGTAGCCAGGTAACCCCTAACTTGTAGCCAGATAACCCCAACCCTGTAGCCAGGTAACCCCAACTCTGTAGCCAGGTAACCCCCACCCTGTAGTCAGGTAACCCCAACCCTGTAGCCAGGTAACCCCCACCCTGTAGCCAGGTAACCCCAACCCTGTAGCCAGGTAACCCCCACCCTGTAGCCAGGTAACCCATACCTTGTAGCCAGGTAACCCCAACCCTGCAGCCAGGTAACCCATATCTTGTACCCAGATAGCCCCCACCTTGTAGCCAGGTAACCCCCACCTTGTAGCCAGGTAACCCATACCCTGTAGCCAGGTAACCCCAACCCTGCAGCCAGGTAACCCCCACCCTGTAGCCAGGTAACCCCAACCCTGTAGCCAGGTAACCCCCACCTTGTAGCCAGGTAACCCCAATCCTGTAGCCAGGTAACCCGAACCCTGTAGCCAGGTAACCCCCACCTTGTAGCCAGGTAACCCCAACCCTGTAGCCAGGTAACCCCCACCCTGTAGCCAGGTAACCCCCACCCTGCAGCCAGGTAACCCCAACCCTGTAGCCAGGTAACCCCACCCTGCAGCCAGGTAACCCATATCAGTGAATCTCCCAAGCGTGATATTTGATGAGTGTTCTGACAAACCCATATCTTGTCGCCAGGTAACCCCATCTTGTAGCCAGGTAACCCCAACCCTGTAGCCAGGTAACCCCCACCCTGCAGCAAGGTAACCCCACCCTGTAGCCAGGTAACCCCAACCATGTAGCCAGGTAACCCCAACCCTGCAGCCAGGTAACCCCCACCCTGTAGCCAGGTAACCCCAACCCTGTAGCCAGGTAACCCCCACCTTGGAGCCAGGTAACCCCACCCTGTAGCCAGGTAACCCCAACCCTGTAGCCAGGTAACCCCCACCTTGTAGCCAGGTAACCCATATCTTGTAGCCAGGTAACCCATACCTTGTAACCAGGTAGCCCCCACCCTGCAGCCAGGTAACCCCCACCCTGTAGCCAGGTAATGAGAAACATATCAGTGAATCTCCCAAGCGTGATATTGATGAGTGTTCTGACAAACCCATATCTTGTCGCCAGGTAACCCATATCTTATAGCTAGGTAACCCCAACCCTGTAGCCAGGTAACCCCTATATTGTAGCCAGGTAACCCCCACCTTGTAACCAGGTAACCCATACTTTGTAGCCAGGTAACCCCAACGCTGTAGCCAGGCAACCCCCACCTTGTAACCTGGTAACCCATACCTTGTGACCAGGTAACCCCAACCCTGTAGATAGGTAACCCCCACCCTGCAGACAGGTAACCCCCACCTTGTAACGAGGTAACCCATATCTTGTAGCCAGATAGCCCCAACCTTGTAGCCAGGTAACCCCTAACTTGTAGCCAGATAACCCCAACCCTGCAGCCAGGTAACCCCCACTCTACAGCCAGGTAACCCCCACCCTGTAGTCAGGTAACCCCAACCTTGTAGCCAGGTAACCCCAACCCTGCAGCCAGGTAACCCCCACCTTGTAGCCAGGTAACCCCCACCTTGTAGCCAGGTAACCCCAACCCCAACCCTGCAGCCAGGTAACCTGCAGCCAGGTAACCCCACCCCTGTAGCCAGGTAACCCCAACCCTGTAGCCAGGTAACCCCACCTTGTAGCCAGGTAACCCCAACCTGTAGCCAGGTAACCCGAACCCTGTATCCAGGTAACCCCCACCTTGTAGCCAGGTAACCCCAACCCTGTAGCCAGGTAACCCCCACCCTGTAGCCAGGTAACCCCCACCCTGTAGCCAGGTAACCCCACCCTGCAGCCAGGTAGCCCCCACCCTGCAGCCAGGTAACCCCCACCCTGCAGCCAGGTAATGAGAAACATATCAGTGAATCTCCCAAGCGTGATATTGATGAGTGTTCTGACAAACCCATATCTTGTCGCCAGGTAACCCATATCTTGTAGCCAGGTAACCCCAACCCTGTAGCCAGGTAACCCCCACCCTGCAGCAAGGTAACTCCCACCCTGTAGCCAGGTAACCCCAACCATGTAGCCTGGTAACCCCAACCCTGCAGCCAGGTAACCCCCACCCTGCAGCCAGGTAACCCCAACCCTGCAGCCAGGTAACCCCCACCCTGCAGCCAGGTGTATTGATGCCCTATATCTTGTCGTCAGGTAACCCATATCTTGTAGCCAGGTAACCCCAACCCTGTAGCCTGGTAACCCCAACCCTGTAGATAGGTAACCCCCACCCTGCAGACAGGTAACCCCCACCTTGTAACGAGGTAACCCATATCTTGTAGCCAGATAGCCCCAACCTTGTAGCCAGGTAACCCCTAACTTGTAGCCAGATAACCCCAACCCTGCAGCCAGGTAACCCCCACTCTACAGCCAGGTAACCCCCACCCTGTAGTCAGGTAACCCCAACTCTGTAGCCAGGTAACCCCCACCTTGTAGCCAGGTAACCCCAACCCTGCAGCCAGGTAACCCCCACCCTGTAGCCAGGTAACCCCTACCTTGTAGCCAGGTAACCCCAACCCTGCAGCCAGGTAACCCATATCTTGTACCCAGATAGCCCCCACCTTGTAGCCAGGTAACCCCCACCTTGTAGCCAGGTAACCCCAACCCTGTAGCCAGGTAACCCCCACCCTGCAGCCAGGTAACCCCCACCCTGTAGCCAGGTAACCCCAACCCTGTAGCCAGGTAACCCCCCACCTTGTAGCCAGGTAACCCCCAATCCTGTAGCCAGGTAACCCCAACCCTGTATCCAGGTAACCCCCACCTTGTAGCCAGGTAACCCCAACCCTGTAGCCAGGTAACCCCACCCTGTAGCCAGGTAACCCCCACCCTGTAGCCAGGTAACCGCCACCCTGCAGCCAGGTAGCCCCACCCTGCAGCCAGGTAACCCCCACCCTGCAGCCAGGTAATGAGAAACATATCAGTGAATCTCCCAAGCGTGATATTGATGAGTGTTCTGACAAACCCATATCTTGTCGCCAGGTAACCCATATCTTGTAGCCAGGTAACCCCAACCCTGTAGCCAGGTAACCCCCACCCTGCAGCAAGGTAACCCCCACCCTGTAGCCAGGTAACCCCAACCATGTAGCCAGGTAACCCCAACCCTGCAGCCAGGTAACCCCCACCCTGCAGCCAGGTAACCCCAACCCTGCAGCCAGGTAACCCCCACCCTGCAGCCAGGTAATGAGAAACATATCAGTGAATCTCCCAAGCGTGATATTGATGAGTGTTCTGACAAACCTATATCTTGTCGTCAGGTAACCCATATCTTGTAGCCAGGTAACCCCAACCCTGTAGCCTGGTAACCCCAACCCTGTAGCCCGGTAACCCCAACCCTGTAGCCAAGTAACCCCAACCCTGTAGCCAAGTAACCCCAACCCTGTAGCCAGGTAACCCCAACCCTGTAGCCAGGTAACCCCAACCCTGTAGCCAGGTAATGAGAAACATATCAGTGAATCTCCCAAGCGTGATATTGATGAGTGTTCTGACAAACGGGAACAAGTATGACACCGATACTATCTTCAGCTGATGACTGGTGCTACGACCTCAGTGACAAGGGAGAGACCTACAACGACAACGTCAACGTGGCAGTCACCAACGCCGCCTGCCTGCCCTGGTCCCAGGCGTCCAGCTGCGAATATTACCCAGCTGAGATGACGTGAGTAGCCAGATTTACCCCTGCGCTTGGGGCTGATTTCTGTGCTGGTCGGTTTTCACTTTGGGGAAGGGTTGTAAGTTCATCTGGGCAGTGGGGCGGGCTGGGAATTACCCTGTGGCGGTGGTGGCTCGTTTGGTACAGTTTTCAGACAAGCCACATCTTGCCGTGCAGAGTTACATCCCTTAGATAAGTAGAGGGTCGTTAATTCGTCCATGATGCGATCCTTGATTTGTCAGCCCAATACCCGGACTTTAGGGGTTCACAGAATGATATGTTCACTCAGCAGAACAATGGGTACCCGGTGGAATAAGTCATGGGACTATAGCCTCCTAGCGCCTATCAGGCAGCCTGGGTTATCCGGGGTAATAATGTGCTGTGCTATTGATTGTTAGCGCTATGACTGACTGACTGAGTTTGGTTTTACGCCGCTTTTAGCAATATTCCAGCAACATCACGGCAGGGGACACCAGAAATGGGCTTCACACAATGTACCCATGTGGGGATTCGAACCCGGGTCTTCGGCGTGACGAGCCAACGCTTTAACCACTAGGCTACCCCACCGCCCCTTTAGCGCTATGAACATACCTAGTGTGGAGTTTGGCGCTATATAATGGACACACTATATGCGTCTGCGATAATCGGTATTTGCCATGTCTGGAATTTCCTCTTACACGAGGCGAAAGTATTGTCATGAAACGACACACCTGTTCCAAACAGCAGGTTCGAATCCCGGATGGGGCTCAACTAAAAAAAGTGCTAGAAGTTGTACTTTACTAAGAAAGTGTAATCCCAAATATAACATGTTACATTTGACCAGTTTCTAAATGACACTGTGCGATAATAGCCTCGTACCATCTCACACGCTGAACATGATGTTGTCCGTTGTGTCTCGGTGTATGTCGATAGACTTGTAGTTGATGTTGTGACGACGTATTCTCCTTCAGCCTCATGGCCGACTACAGCGGCAACAACTGCAGGAACCCCGAGGGGGTGCTCCCCCAGCCTTGGTGCTACACCTACATCGGCGAATTCAGCTGTGAGATCACCTTGTGTGATGTGTGTCAGTTCGGTACGTTCTGTTGTTATGCGCTCGCGCACGCACGCACACACAAAGCACACACACAAAGCACAAAGCACACACACACAAAGCACACACACTACTCTAAACACATGCCTCACAACCACTACCTCAGGCACGCACACACACGCATTCCCCGTTCATACACACTTACCACACCAACATCCACCCCAGGATCCTCCAACCCAACTGCCCTCTCCCGCCTTGAAGCCAGCAGTTAACCAAGAGATGTCACATGATGTTGTTTCAGGCAGGACCTACGACAGCTACGACAACTGCGACGAACTCATCGACAACAACGCGGACTACTGCAGCACACCTACATCACAGTTCAGTTGTCGAAAAACATGCGAAGAGCAGGGTATTTAATATAATAATTATGTCTTTACTAGCCTATCTTCGCAGTGACTTAGTAATGTGTGACGGCGCTTTTAACACTGATGTAGCCAAATCACAGCGATATCCAGAGGATTGAGTGTCATATGGTAGCCGTCCAATAAACCATGTCTTGAACCATTGAGCTTCCACGCTGTCACTAAGCTTCCGATAACTAACGGGGATAACTAGAAATGCAATAAGAGATAACATGTAGGTATCGGCCGTCTACAAATTAGCCACTGAGTCGATCACCTGAAGCCAGGTAAGTGACGGTTGCTGCTTTATCCCGTCTAATGTCACAGGTGAAGACGTAAAACAATATCTGTGGGGAATCAGCTTTGTGTCCATCTTTTTACAGCAACTCCAACGACAACAGCGTCTACCACTACTACACCAACAACTACTTCGTCCACCACTACTACACCAACAACGACTTCGTCTACCACTACTACACCAACAACGACGTCGTCTACCACTACTACACCAACAACGACTTCGTCTACCACTACTACACCAACAACGACTTCGTCTACCACTACTACACCAACAACTACTTCGTCCACCACAACTACACCAACGACGACTTCGTCCACCACTACTACACCAACAACTGCTACTTCTACCACTACTACACCAACAACTACTTCGTCCACCACAACTACACCAACGACGACTTGGTCCACCACTACTACACCAACAACAACTACAACAACAGCAACAACTACAAAGGTGACAACAACGACCTCACCACCTACGATGAGGGTGTGTCCGTCTGGCTACACTCAATACGCCGGGGATGGTCAGTGCTATAAATTCTTCACCTCTAAAAGGAATTACGGCCAGGCCAAGAGAACGTGCTCCCGGGACGGGGGCGAAATAACGTCTGTTGAGTCGGCCGCCGTCAACTTGTTCCTAGTCCAACTCAGAGCTGCCGCAGGGTAAGTCTGTCTGATCACCGCGTACCCCGGGGGCTGCTACATATGTACATATGACTGGACAAAGGCACGATGGCTGTGTGTGGCTGACTGATCCCTACAAGAGTGGGTGTTAAAGCAAGTGAATGACTCCACGCTTCAAATCAGTACACAGCTTCGTCTCTCCCAACCAACCACCCCACCCACCACTTAAAAAGTGCCCGTGTGTCACTGTCTACCTTGATAAATATAGCACGTTACGTTAGGTTGGATTAGGTCGCCAAACGGTGAAGCAGGGGTCAGGGGCGGTAATCTTCCCTAATGAGGATTTCGTGTACCGATATCTGTCCAGGTGAGCTACAATGGTTTCTTTCTCTCAGATTTTCCTCTTCTCCGATGTTTATCAACGCCAAGTGGAACAGGAAGGATCAGTACTGGTTCTGGGTGCCCCTGGGGAGGAAGCTCAAGGTCGCCAGCTTCTACACCAACTGGGACTCCAATAACCGTGAGTCTGGACAGGAACTTGTCCACCACTGAGTTTGTTAATGTTTAAGAAAAGCAAGATTTATGGATGTCAACTTCTTTATTGTGAATAACACGACGTTTCGGTGTGTATGCTTACTCCTTCATCAAGCCTACACTCCGAAACGTCGTGTTATTCACAATAAAGAAGTTGACATCCATAAATCTTGCTTTTCTTATGCATTCCACTTCTAAATGCCCTTCAAAGATTGTTAATGTTTGTTTGTAAACGGCAGCAAAATTCCAGCTACATGGCGGCAGTGTGTCGATGATCAATGTTGGACCAGACAGTCACATGGTTGTATTGGGTATTACGAAGCCACGAACTGAGGGTACGGTGACATACAAACTGTCATGTCAGCTAGCCCGACCGGCCTATCCAGCCAAGCTTCGTTTGCCTCGGAGTTATTTAGCGTATGAACCCAAATGGCCCAGTATGAGAGTTCAAATTGTAAATCCTTACGTAACTATTTTTTATCTGTCTGGGAGGCGGTTAAAACGGAGTAGGTTTGTATCCACTGACTCGCAGATAGAGGAAGAGTTTAAAGGTGATTTTTATTTGTGGTTTAAAACCGTACCCAGTGATACTCCGGCTATATGGCGACGGTCCGTTAGTACTCTTGTCAGGACTAGACAACCAGTGATACTCCGGCTATATGGCGACGGTCCGTTAGTACTCTTGTCAGGACCAGACAACCAGTGATACTCCGGCTATATGGCGACGGTCCGTTAGTACTCTTGTCTGGACCAGACAACCAGTGATACTCCGGCTATATGGCGACGGTCCGTTAGTACTCTTGTCTCGACCAGACAACCAGTGATACTCCGGCTATATGGCGACGGTCCGTTAGTACTCTTGTCTCGACCAGACAACCAGTGATACTCCGGCTATACGGTCCGGCTATATGGCGACGGTCCGTTAGTACTCTTGTCTCGACCAGACAACCAGTGATACTCCGGCTATATGGCGACGGTCCGTTAGTACTCTTGTCGGGACCAGACAACCAGTGATACTCCGGCTATATGGCGACGGTCCGTTAGTACTCTTGTCTCGACCAGACAACCAGTGATACCAGTTAGTACTCCGGCTATATGGCGACGGTCCGTTAGTACTCTTGTCTCGACCAGACAACCAGTGATACTCCGGCTATATGGCGACGGTCCGTTAGTACTCTTGTCTCGACCAGACAACCAGTGATACTCCGGCTATATGGCGACGGTCCGTTAGTACTCTTGTCGGGACCAGACAACCAGTGATACTCCGGCTATATGGCGACGGTCCGTTAGTACTCTTGTCTGACCAGACAACCAGTGATACTCCGGCTATATGGCGACGGTCCGTTAGTACTCTTGTCGGGACCAGACAACCAGTGATACTCCGGCTATATGGCGACGGTCCGTTAGTACTCTTGTCTCGACCAGACAACCAGTGATACTCCGGCTATATGGCGACGGTCCGTTAGTACTCTTGTCTGGACCAGACAACCAGTGATACTCCGGCTATATGGCGACGGTCCGTTAGTACTCTTGTCTCGACCAGACAACCAGTGATATGGCGACGGTCTCCGGCTATATGGCGACGGTCCGTTAGTACTCTTGTCTCGACCAGACAACCAGTGATACTCCGGCTATATGGCGACGGTCCGTTAGTACTCTTATCTCGACCAGACAACCATGTGATTGACATCATGAGCATCGACCTAGCAATTGGGGTGGGTTGACAGTATAGGTTATTGATGTAGTTCATAATGACACGGATAACGTCGTTGTCCCCAGCCGACGGCCCCGACGGTGGCGCTGCTGCGAAGATCAAGTGTGTGTTGATGGAGTCAGCGTCTGAGGGGAGTCAGTGGATCCCCAGAAGGTGTAACAAAAACTACTTCATCTGCAGGACCAACACCGTCTCCGGAACCCCTGATTGTCAGTATTGTGTCCACCTTACCTATATCTCATCCCGAATCACCAAATACTCATTTCCTGTGCTTGAAATAAAACCACCAAACACTAATATCCAGCCGAATCTAATACAGCTGTATCATTAAAAACCAAGCGCCAAAAAATGGATACCGATATTGTTTTCATAAACTTTAATTTGAAAGAAAATATGCTTTTTAATTGTTGTCTGTGTAACAAACTCACATTCCAGCAACAGCTTGTAAAACATAATCTCTGGCTGTGTGATTTGGGGCTAAATACACTTGTTCAGTGAAGACCCAGTGTGTTTGAAATGTTGTACATGCGGTCGAACAGGATCCAGAGTAACCACCCTACCATCGCCATAACGTTTCAGCCTTGATAACGTACCTGTTGTTCAAAACGGTGATAAACCCAGCTCTGTGTTCCAGCCAAGTGCTGTGACTTCCGGTCCGAATGTCAGACGTTCCTGCACGATGATCCCGCAATGTGCAAGAAGAAGCTAGCCAAGAGCTGCCCGGCAACCTGCGGCCAATGCAACCCTAACGGTAATGATGTTCCCTCGTCAGTTATCAAAGCGTGTTCTATTGATATCTTAACCTGTATCATTGTGGGAGACGTAAGGGACTGGTAATGTTCACGTGATGTGTGAGCGTGCGTGCGTGCGTGTTCGGGGGCAGGGGGGTTGGGACATGTGAAAATGACACATAATTCTTTGTTGAGGATGGGGCAAAATCTCTGTATTTATATATTTGTATAGATATGCTTTGAATTCACAGGATGTTCTGAAAATAGGATACCCGTGAAGCTCCGGGTTAGAATTTTGATCTTCAGTAACCCATGCTTGTCGTAAGAGGCGACTAACGGGATCGGGGTGGTCAGGCTCGCTGACTTGGTTGACACATGTCATCGGTTCCCAATTGCACAGATCGATGCTCATGCTCTTGTTCACTGGATTTTCTGATCCAGAGTAGATTATTTACAGACTGCCGCCATATAGCTGAAATATTGCTGAGTGTGGCGTAAAACGAAACTCACTCACTCTGAAAATAGGAAATGGCAAACCCTTGAGGACCCATACCAGCACTGTTTTGCATAGTTGCCGCATGTGTTTTGAGACCATGATTTAGAGCGTCATAGCAAATAGTATAAGAACCACCATGTTTAATGTTTAGTAATGTTTGGTTATATAGCTGCTCTTGTCCACGAGTTCAATGTCGGTTGTCAACCAGAGAGAGATTCCTATTGCTACTTGTCTAATACACGTTGTACACCCTTCATGTTCACTACAGATATCACGTGCACGGTGCCCACACCTGCCGCTGCTGACCGCGTGGCTGTGAAGGGGTCCCAGTCTCAGCTGACTCCCGGTCAGTTCGTGAGGTACAGGTGTAGGAGGCGGTATGTCCTCAAGTCCGGGGCGCTGAGGCGGGCGTGCACACTGACGGGGGCGCTGACGGATGACGCTCCAGTCTGCACAGGTACCGTGAATAGTCATAGCACTAGACTACACTCGCCGACTAACCACAGACTGTCACAGGACATGTAGTTGCTGACGAGAAATGTCAGTCATTCACAAGCAATTACTATTGATGAGAAATGTCAGTCATTCACAAGAATAATGTCATCATTTACAAGCAATGGCATTCCATTGACGAGCAACGACGTCCTCTCACAAGCAATCACTATCCTATTGACGGGTAATGTCATTAGTTTACAAGCAATCACTATCCTGTTGACGGGTAATGTCATTAGTTTACAAGCAATCACTATCCTATTGACGGGTAATGTCATTAATTACAAGCAATCACTATCCTATTGACGGGTAATGCCATTAGTTTACAAGCAATCACTATCCTATTGACGGGTAATGTCATTAGTTTACAAGCAATCACTATCCTATTGACGGGTAATGTCATTAGTTTACAAGCAATCACTATCCTATTGACGGGTAATGTCATTAGTCATTCCCATTGACGGTAATGTCATTAGTTTACAAGCAATCACTATCCCATTGACGGGTAATGTCATTAGTTTATTCCTATTGACGGGTAATGTCATTAGTTTACAAGCAATTTACAAGCAATCACTATCCTATTGACGGGTAATGTCATTAGTTTACAAGCAATCACTATCCTATTGACGGGTAATGTCATTAGATTACAAGCAATCACTATCCTATTGACGGGTTATGTCATTGGTTTACAAGCAATCACTATCCTATTGACGGGTAATGTCATTAGTTTACAAGCAATCACTATCCTATTGACGGGTAATGTCATTAGTTTACAAGCAATCACTATCCTATTGACGGGTAATGTCATTAGTTTACAAGCAATCACTATCCTATTGACGGGTAATGTCATTAGTTTACAAGCAATCACTATCCTATTGACGGGTAATGTCATTAGTTTACAAGCAATCACTATCCTATTGACGGGTAATGTCATTAGTTTACAAGCAATCACTATCCTATTGACGGGTAATGTCATTAGTTTACAAGCAATGACTATCCTATTGACGGGTAATGTCATTAGTTTCATGACAATCCATCACAAGCAATGACTATTGAAAAATGACTATGGCCAGCCATATAGCAATGACTATTGAAAAGTAATGGCCGCCATATAGCTGGAATATTGCTGAGTGCGGCGTAAAACTAAACTCACTCACTTACTGATGAGTAATGACAGCCATTGACAAGAGTAATATTATTCATTCACAAGTAATGACTATGTGTTGACGATTAATGTCAATCATTCTCAAGTAATGACTATCTACTGATGAGTAATGTCAATCATTCACAAGTCATGATTATTATCTACGATTAATATCAATCATTCACAAGCAATGGCTCTCTGTTGGCGAGTAATGCCAATCATTCACAAGCTAGACCCTCCACTGACAAGTAATGGCGTCTATTTGCACGCAATCACTATCGAGTCAGTCCAGTAAACGTCATTTGATGAAAAACATAAAACATCTTTTTTTAAATTTCTTTTTAAAAATATATTTTAAACGTTGATTCAGATCATAACAGCATCTTTTCCTCCTGTAGACATATCCAACACCGTGTCGAGCGTGAACGGCCGTAAACTGGAGCCTATGCTGAACTTCCCGAGCGACTTCCAGCTGTACGGCAAGCCCGTCATCAAGCGCCACGGTCGGGTGTCGCAGTGGAAGGCGTTCTGTGCCACGAAGGGGGAGGTCGTCTTCATGGTGCTGAGGAACGAGAAGAGGAACAGGTCAGGCTTGTATTTCACATTTAATAGCGGGTGGATGGGTTGGTTTGAAGGCCGTTTCAACACAAGTTCAGTAATGTCTAGGCGTTGCAGCCTTGTGTGAAGGGAGAGATTTTATTGGTTTGCTTGTTTTAATGCCGCACTTAGCAGACACCAGACAATCCAGTCATCAGCTGCATGAGCATCGATCTTCGCAGTTGGGATACGATGACATGTGTCTACCAAGTCAGCGAGCCTGACTACCGATCTCTTCAGTCGCCTCTTACGACAAGCATGGGTTGCTGAAGATCAATTCTAACCCAGATCCTCACGGTGATGACACCCAGACCAGAGATCAGTATAATGTTGACAAATCTAGACACATTATAAGGGCGAACTTTCGATCACAGGCCGTGGAAACCCAACTCTGCAAATCGAACTGCGACGTGTACGACCGTAATCAAATTCAATTGACAGTTAACAGGTGAACAATTGACTGGCCTTTGCACGTGTTTGTGACAGGTGCCACCGATGGGACTTGATATTCCCATCACTATTTGATAGTGGTCTATAAACTGATGCATATAAGTCATGTGGCCGAAATCGTAAAGTGTACAAACAATTATATAAAAGATTTTGTCACTATTTCCAGGTCAAAGATCGTCGGCGTCAACAAGGTGAAGTGCATGAACGACCGCGTGATGACGTGGGATGTGGACGAGAGGGAGCGTATCACGGTGCAGCCTGGGGATTTCCTGGGAGCGGGGGACCAGGAAGGGGGACATCTCCAATACAGCTGGTGTGACGGGGGAAGGAAGATGACGTATAGCACGTACACGGAATCCGAGCTCCGACCAGGGTTAACAGTGGTTACGGAGGGCAGAGAATGTCTCGTTATTGAAATGGATGCTGTCATCGTTCCTCTGTAAATAGGGGCAGCCATTTTGTTACTGTGTATCACACGTGAACGGAAATAAAAATGGACTGTCACAAATTGGAGTTAATTATATTTGTTTCTAGCTGTCATCCCTTTCTTAGTGTCCCCAATATAAGATCAAGTATGAGCTTACAATAACCCGCTCCCTGCTCAACAACGAGAATGATATATCGCTAACACATGACATGAATACACCAAAGTATATACCTTCATGGTTGTAGTAAATAGCCATAAATCATAGCACGGTCCAGTCTCAGTTAACATGGTCAGTGCAACACAGTTGTATATTGATAGGGACGGTGGGGTAGCCTAGTGGTTAAAGCGTTGGCTCGTCACGCCGAGGATCCGGGTTCGATTCCCCACATGGGTACAATGTGTTAAGCCCATTTCTGGTGTTCCCCGCCGTGATATTGCTGGAATATTGCTAAAAGCGGCGTAAAACTAAACTCAGTCAGTCAGTCAGTATATTGATAACCCGATACCAGTAGGGCTGCGCAATATAACCGGTTTACCGGTATTTACCGGTTCAGACATGAAAACGATACGTATTGCGATACGCTCATCGAAAACCGGTATTTTGACATGCATTCGGAAAACTTCGTAACACTCGGAAATCTTCGGATATTTCCGTTTTTGAATTGTTCTTTTCCTGTTTCATTAGTGCCAAATGTTACTTACATTTTTATTTTGTCATGATTAAAAGTTTTTATTAAAGGTTAATCAATCATAGTGATTTTGTTGTGTTTTTGCTTTATAATCAAGCATTAACTCGATTATAAATAGTTTTTGTTAAAAAAATAATTCTTGCAATATATTGCAATACATATCGCAATATATGCTTCCGCATCGCAATATATCGCATATGAAAATTCTCTGCAATACCCACCCCTAGATACCAGACACAAATATGTTATGTTCATATAGCTCGCTGTCTGAAGCCTAAATTGAAGGAGTATAACATCAGCTGATTTGTTTTTTCATTTTCGAGCTTAGTGACTGAGTTAGGTTTTACGCCGCTTTTAGCAATATTCCAGCAATATCACGGCGGGGGGAGACCAGAAATGGGCTTCACACATTGTACCCATATGGGGACTCGAACCCGGGTCTTGGGTCTTCGGCGTGACGAGCAAACGCTTTAACTACTAGGCTACCCCAGCGCCCCTCGAGCTAAGTAGGTGACGTAATATTACATGATCTCCGAAATGTCCTGTAGTGGCTGGGCTCAGGTCCTTATTTCACCCTAGGGGAGGGGGTAGTTGGGGGTGGGGTCATTTAGGGTCAAAGCAGTCAGTATATAGTGGATCAAAAATGCTCGGAAATGTAGTGCTCTGATCCCGACCCTCTGAATGATGACGTCAAAAACGGCGGCCATGTTTTGAGTTGAGGGATTGTCCCTGAGTGATGACCACTTTTGGTCGGTGGTCATAGGTGACATCATAGCATCGTCGGACCCGACTGGAACATCACGTGATCACTCCCTTGGGACGTGTGTGACATCACAAACTGACAGCCACAACCGTGGTTTCATAGGGTAGTCTAATGGTTCGTGTCTTGCCGGCCATATCAGTTTTTGTGGGATCACAAGATGACCGGCAGAACGTAGACACAAGTCCTCAATCAACAGAGACCAGGGATATCTCATCCCCTCTGCATACAATGATCTGATAAAAACAACAGATTAGAGCACCTCAGCTATCATTGTTAATTAATCTCATCAGCATGTATATTTTGTTTCTACCTCCACCAGTATTGGCTTCCTATTGTCACTACATTATTGCCACCGTGCCTTGTTGTTGCTGTTAATCCCCCTGATTCATTCCTACATGTTGTTATTACTTAATCCCTGTTCATGTATATAAGTCTGTTCTGTGCTGTAGTACTTCACTCTTGCTTGACAACGGTATAAGAATCCATACCGAAACGTCGCATCATATATACTAAAGAAGTTGTTATCCATAAACTTTCTTACTTTCTTAAGAGTGTGTAGGTTTGTGTCATGAAGGAAAGTAGCGATTGTGTCCTCCATGTTGTAACGTCACTGTACCTGGTATATCCTACTTTACTCTGAAGGAGTGACATATTGTAACGTCACTGTACCTGGTATATCCTACTTTACTCTGAAGGAGTGACATATTGTAACGTCACTATACCTGGTATATCCTACTTTACTCTGAAGGAGTGACATATTGTAACGTCACTGTACCTGGTATATCCTACTTTACTCTGAAGGAGTGACATATTGTGACGTCACAATACCTGGTATATCCTACTTTTCTCTGAAGGAGTGACATATTGTAACGTCACTATACCTGGTATATACTACTTTTATCTGAAGGAGTGACATATTGTGACGTCACTATACCTGGTATATCCTACTTTTCTCTGAAGGAGTGACATATTGTAACGCCACTATACCTGGTATATCCTACTTTTCTCTGAAGGAGTGACATATTGTAACGTCACTATACCTGGTATATCCGACTTTTCTCTGAAGGAGTGACATATTGTAACGTCACTATACCTGGTATATCCGACTTTTCTCTGAAGGAGTGACATATTGTGACGTCACTATACCTGGTATATCCTACTTTTCTCTGAAGGAGTGACATCCTGTGACGTCACTATACCTGGTATATCCTACTTTTCTCTGAAGGAGTGACATATTGTAACGTCACTATACCTGGTATATCCTACTTTTCTCTGAAGGAGTGACATATTGTAACGTCACTATACCTGGTATATCCTACTTTTCTCTGAAGGAGTGACATATTGTGACGTCACTATACCTGGTATATACTACTTTTCTCTGAAGGAGTGACATATTGTGACGTCACTATACCTGGTATATCCTACTTTTCTCTGAAGGAGTGACATATTGTAACGTCACTATACCTGGTATATCCTACTTTTCTCTGAAGTAGTGACATATTGTAACGTCACTATACCTGGTATATCCTATTTTTCTCTGAAGGAGTACCGTCACTATACATACCTGGTATATCCTATTTTTCTCTGAAGGAGTGACATACTGTGACGTCACTATACCTGGTTTATCCTATTTTTCTCTGAAGGAGTGACATATTGTGACGTCACTATACCTGGTATATCCTACTTTTCTCTGAAGGAGTGACATATTGTAACGTCACTATACCTGGTATATCCTACTTTTCTCTGAAGGAGTGACATATTGTGACGTCACTATACCTGGTATATCCTACTTTTCTCTGAAGGAGTGACATATTGTGACGTCACTATACCTGGTATATTCTACTTTTCTCTGAAGGAGTGAAATATTTCATTAATTAGAAAGTTAGCATTCCCAACAGATCTATAACTCGTTTCTATTTCATGAAAACGCAATATGTAAGCATTTAAAATTCTGTAGATGTCATGCTGTCTATGTAAAACTACCTACGATACTAGACCGCAAGACAAATGTGTCTGGACACTGAAAATCACCTGTCGCCAGTCGCCTTACTATCAGAACTATTTAACTCACGAATCCCATTTGTGCATCGCTATCACGAATCAGCACCAATTAACTATTGGCTTTACTCACCAAGTATCCACCTTTGTTGTATCATCAAAATTGTTGCAAAGTCTGCATCCTAGTTTTCATCCATCTGATGAAGAAGCAAGAAACTACTCCGAAAAATTGTGTCCTTCACTATAACGAAGAAGGCATCCAACAAGTCTCTTCTTTATTGTCCATGATTTTCTGTCTGATATTGTCACTAAATCCCTAGTGTCAATGTTATTATAGAAAAGTGATAACTCTGTCTCTTGTCTCCATTGTGCGGTGGGGTAGCCTGGTGGTTAAAGTGTTTGCCAGTCAAGCCGAGGACCCGGGTTTGATTCCCCAGATGGGTACAATGTGTGAAGCCCATTTCTGGTGTCCCCTGTCGTGATATTTTTGGAATATTGCTAAAGCGGCGTAAAACCAAAGTCACTCACTCACTCTTTTCTCCAGCATACGGTTGTTATGTAACCTGTATTTTGGCATCAGTTTACTCTACGGTCTGTACTTATCGTGTGCGAAATACGCATCATGTCGAATAGCGCACGTAAAATCTCCAAATCATCATCACCTCCCCTCAGATTCGCAGGTAAGTTCAAAAGGTGATTCTCTCAGCTCTTTAGCATTATAAATAATATTCCTCGTGACGCTTGTCGCAATTTTCACTTAATATACATTGGAAGAATCATTCCCGCCACATACCCATGTACCCAGCTTGGTAACACATTACTGAAATTACTCAGGCATTGGGTTCAATCACATCATTCTCAAAAATATATATGTCTAAGCTCCATGCGACGTCGTAATAATTATTATTCAGCCATTTTCCCCCGTAAGGTTTAAACTCCCTACCACACTCGATGCAACGTTTGTTACTACTGGTGCCAAAAGGAGTCGTAGCTGGGATAATAAAGTTATTGGTTATTTGTGCCAATGTTTTCTTTATGTGGCAGAGCTTTAATTAAAGAGCTTTCTTACAATTTTGGACGCCGTGGTAGTCAAGTCGGCCGCCGTCAACAGACTCAACACACACACCACAGACGCCCGCACGAACGCACTCGCACACATACACACGCACACTAATCCTCTGCTGTATAAACATCTCATTATTATTTGTACATCATTGGCTTCCACGCCTGTCCTTTGTCTACTCTCTGGCTTCATCGGCTTTCTGCCTAGCCAATTATGTTAATTATGTTGTTTTCTTTGTTACATTGTTACATCCAGTATATATATATACTCCCCTTCTTCATGTCCCATTATGCTTGACAACGGTACAAGAATCTGTATCGAAACGTCGCACTCACGAATAAAAGAAGTTGTTATCCATAAAGTTTGTCCTATATTGTACTTCCCAACTTCTAAAATGCCACTCAAAGAAGTTAATCCATGTGGATTGTATATTTTGCACTTTTTCCGAGGGAGTAAGTTTGTAATAAGGGGATTGATTTTCATATTGAAGAAGCGATTTGACCTTCGATACTTGGAGGGCAGTGATTTTATTCCAGGGCCTAGATTTTCGAAGCTCTCTTAGCGCTAAGATAGTCGTAAGTGCCATACATTAACATTAATTTACGACTATCTTAGCGCTAAGAGAGCTTTGAAAATCTAGGCCCTGGACTGTTTCGCTACAGAGTATATCAGTTCCAGAATCAGGTCATTCAGATTGATTTGATTCAGTGCAGGATCATTCTAGACTGAAATGTAGGAGTGATTTCATTTTGCCAGGCCGGCTTACCTTGTACAAACTAGCAAAGTTTTTTATTTGCGTTTTACTTTTAAAAAATGCACGTCAAAAATGTACACGTCTGCACACTCAAAACGTTCAAATGTCGTCATGTAAAGCTCCCTTTTGCACTGGGCTATGAGACAGAGCAACTCTCCTTTGATCCACACCCCGAAAATACCCCACGAGGTAAACGGTAAAACAACAGCAGCATTATGCATTACTCGGTTGTCGTTGATACATCCCAAAGTACATAATACATGTATATATATTAGTGCGCATCGATACATTCCCCGGACAATGAGTACACAACCCATAATCGACTGGGTACTAATCAAACAGTAGTGTACAAATCCTCGTGTCACACCAACGTCAAATCTCCAAGAACATGTTACGTTAAGGAATGAACACGAGGGTGCACAAGCGTTTAATGTCATGTGAACATCTCACTTCCACTATCTCATGCGACCATGTCCGAATGTCAGGTGTAATAAAATCCTCTGTTGACCGGCCGTGTACCCTTCTGAACCAGCTGTGCTGGTCAAACCATGGAAGTAACCATCTGTTATTGTCATTGTGACAGTTCGAATCGTGGATGGAACTACACCCAAAAGGTCATAGAATCTGTGCTTTACTGAGTGTAATCCCAAATATAACATGTGTTACATTTGACACTTTCTGAATGCCATTGTGTTATCAATAAGGAAATGACTTTTCGAGTCCATGAAAGAGCCAGAGGATTTGATTGAGACCAGTAACATGTGAACTTCAGTGAATTGTGGAGCAATATTTTGGGCATGTGCAATCACATTTGACATTACAAATCAAGTTCACTTAATTATGTGATGTGCCTTAATCCGATATCGTATTGTATATACTTAGTGGTTATACGAAGTAACATGGATCTTTTCCCTTATTCTTTCACATGTAAATATTTTCAAATGTTGACATAAGCTGTTAAGGTATGTACAGGGGCGTAGCTACCATTATTAAAAAAGCCCGGACTTACACGTCATTGTTAAAAGGATGGGCAAGCCATCAATACTATCTAAATATAAAGCTTTGCAAGCTATCGGGCTTACACGAAAAATACATGGCTTGCTACGCGCCTGACGTGTTTTACTCAATCTTGAGGCTGATTATAATGTCCAATAATGACTAATCGATCCTGGTTTGCTTCTATAGTGTATAATATTGTTATATTTCATAACATATCAGATCTGATCTAGCGTTCAATTATATAGAACTGCTACCAGCTCTTGTCCACGGGCAAGAGATGTTACAAGGTAAAATTGCATCCCGAAAACATTAGACACATGTACCAAATTCACCACCTAAAATCGTGTTTTCAGTCGCGATAGCTTTAATTTAATGTTGTGTCACAGTAGCTTCAATTTAGTTCCGCAATACCTGTAATGTTGTGTAATTGTGTAATCTTAAGACTTTTTTTTCTTCACTAAAGCCTTCCAGTGACTCTTCATTATTGCTGGAATATTGCTAAAAGCGGCGTAAAATCATACTCACTCACTCACTCAATCTTCCTTTCTCCTTGTACATAGGTTCTCAGCGCCATGAGCATGCATTCGTGGGTGGACACTGGCGCTTTATAAATATCCCTATTATTATTATTATTATTATTATTATAATTGTATTGGATTTCATACACAACAGAGCCGTGCACGTTGTAGATATATTTATGTTCATCTGAAAAATTCAAGTGAGTGGGTTTTTTTGTCTGTCATCTGGTTCCTTTTCGTTTTTTCCAATTTTTTATTTTTCAAAATGTTGTTGCTTTCTAGGTTCTGGTTTTACTAATGTCTTTGTTTTTAGTTGTTGTTTTTTTTTTGTTTTGTGTGTGTCTGTTTTTTCGTTGTTTTATTGGGGTTTTTGTGTGTGTTTGTGTGTTTAAATGTTTATCGCAAGTGATTTCTATAAGTGAAAGTTAAGATAATGCTGTAAATTAGTGTTACTGTGTCTATTCCATACGCCGGTTCGATCTCTGGATTGAGGAAGGATTGGTGGGAATATTTGCACTTGGAACAGGTGCCCGGAAACAGGGGAGGTAACTCTTCCAGGCGGAAGTTGTCGTCAGCAAATATGACAGCATGGAGAGGGTGTTCTTAAGGCATTTATTTCTTCTGTTGCTGATTTTCTTGACTTTATTGTCGCTATGCGGTAAGTTTGAAACATATCACTCTTTCGTGTGTATTTGTATGCACTTGTATGACTGATTTATTCTGCGTTGCATGGGCGAGTCTTGCTGAACAGAATATATCGTAGCTTCGATTCATTCTGCAAGCAGACGGGTATGTTGAGATCTTTCTTAGTTCAGCGTCTCATCGACTGTTTAAGAACGTGACATGAGAGCGTTTTTGTAAATTAGCCAGGTAGATGTGATGGTTTAAGAAACTCCCACTAAAAATTGGAAAACCGAAAAACAATTGTCAATGAAATTGTTTTCTTTTGTTTTGCATTTATATATTTTTTCAATGATCATGTGTATGCATCTGTTGGGGAAATGATTTGAAAGTGATAGACCCACAATAGCTTTTTTCTTCTTCCAATTTTTACTTAAATTATCAAGCAAATGTTCGACGTTTTCAATGTCAAGTTGAATAATTGATTAAGCCAATATTTGAGAAGAATTACCCTCTCAAATTGCGGTTTTAGAGTTAGATTTTAATAATACTTGACATCTTGTCAGCTTGCTATGGACAGAAAGACCACAGTGAAGAAGAAGATATGTTTTTATCAGGTTTATGAAAAGATACAATCCAGGGATTTACCTTTCAAGAGTCCTGTATTTGAGGGTCCATTGTCAATTTTTATATGTGTATAGAACGCAAAAATTTGCATCCTGTAAATCCTGTTGCTGAAATACAGGGATGACCATAACCATTATTAACCTGGGATTCATTCCTATGCGCATCCTGTTACCAATATGGGACACAACTCTGTACTCCCATCTGCAGAGCTTTGTACCATTGTGCGCATGTACATTTCATTAATCTTGTTTATATCATGAAACTTATCTGTTCAATTGCAAATGATAAAGTATATTTGTTGTTACGATTGTTGTTTGTGTGTTTGGTTCAAGAATAGAACTGTTGTTGATGTAAAATACATGTTGCTCCCAATCACAGAGGACGAGTAATGTATCTCTGGTGCCAGCTAGAGGATCCTGCACATATCTACTAATATCATTGAGGCTATGTTTCACTGAAAATATAATTCTAGTGCAAAAACTGACCAAACACTTTTTGAGGACAGATATAATATATGGGACAGGATCAGTGGATCTTTCTATAGATCTCCTGATCTTTTGGACTTCAGCCAAACTCTGGTGCCAGCTACTGGTCTGTAATGAGCTCTGCTAATGCAAGGCGTTAAATGTTCAGACACTTAAAGGGGCACCTAAAATCAAAATGTCATTGTGCCGAGATCATAGTTACAAGAAAGGGGAAATGGACAAGTTAGCTTGCATCTGTAAATTGTAGGCTGATTCCAAACTTGAGGTCTCTGTTTGTGTTTGTTGACAGCTCTAGAGTTGCAACTTGCAACATCACCCGATGTCAACATTGTCCTCAACGATGCCATGTTTTTTGAAATCATTGAACCTGAGCAGTTAAGTTACACTTACAAAGTGCGTCCGGCCAGAGACTTTGGAGGAGTTTTTGTAAGTAAAAGCACAGAAATGGTGAAGTTTTGTTTGAACAATGATGTACATTCTCTATGGTCCTTCAATATTTACTGACAAAGAATGAGAATTGTTGAACCAGTTAATTTAAGTTGATGCTAACATTGCAGATTTTTCCATTGAGCAGGAATTTCTGATTTTGTATAGTTTACATGTGTGGAACTGTTATTCTAGTAAACTGTATCATAAGCAGATGCATTTCCATTATTAATTAATATGTCAGTCTACATCTTAAGCCACCGATTTAAGTCTACTCAAAATATTTTGGCTGCAGTCTAGGTCATACAAGTCCACGCTCTTGGAATAAAATCTACTGAAAATGATGCCAGAGTTCAAGTACGGGTTTGCAGATTGTAGAGTCTTCAGCATAAACTGATACATACATTTGGAAAAATATACTGAGAGAAAGAAATAAAGGATCACACTCACAGGAAAATTTAAGTGTTCCTTTATTATTTTCCAGTTTTCATCACTACTGTGCTATTCAAAGCGGGTGATAAAAACGGGAAAATATTAAAGGAACGCTTGAATTTTCCTGTGATCCTTTATTTGTTTCTCTCAGTATATATATTGAGGCTGTATCATGTAACAAAAATCCAGTAGTGTTTCATGCATGTGCCAGAAGTTTTTGAGCTTTCAAGTTTTGAACATTGCTCTTAGCATCATTTTCAGTAGAATTTAGTCTTCGTATAAGGGCTTTTTAGTTGAGCTTACTAGTCACAGGAGTGTAAATTCAGTCAGAATATCACAAGAATGGTGATCACATATACCTGTTGCAATATCTCCAAAATGTTTGAAATTTAACAAGCCCTCAGGAAACCTTTGACAAACTGATCCAGGCTAGACCAAACACAATTGTACGAGATTCGGTCTTCAGAATAGTGACAAGAGTGACATTTGTACATGTCTTTACTTGTTAACCTAGTTAATATTCTTTTTCATTACAGGAACACACACTTAGCAAAGTGGAGCTTAGATTTGCCGACCCTTTAGATGGGTGTGGCACTTTTACAAGCAGCATGAGGGGATCCATTGCCTTTATATTACGTGGGTAAGATAAATAAAGTGATCATATAATGTTAATTTTGGGTGAAATTTCATTTCACTAAAGCTTTTGAAAAGGTTTTGAGGCTCATCACACCAGTCAATAAGCTTTGCAGGAGATGCCAGTGGTTTTCACTGAGTTGATGTGCAGTGACATGTACTTCTCTAGATTGACTCCTATGGGGATTCTGAAGTACCCAAGTACCTCCTGTTTATCAACATAGTTGAATAATACAGTAACAATATCAAAAGCCAACAGCCCAAACAAGGCTCCAAGCATCATTTTGGGTAAATTATCATATGGTGTTCTATAAGCTGATGTTACTATATCAAACAGAAATTATCTAGACTATGGCTTGGACAAGTCACAGACTGCAGTGTGTGACTGAGTGTGTGTAACATGACTTCAAGGTGAGGTCAACCACTGGCTTATCTTTTATTTATCTAGTTTTTTTATTGTTAAAACAATCTTCACATTTTGTTCTAAAGTAGATTTTAGAAACACTGGATGATAGAATATTGATAAAATGATAGTCATGGGGTAAAAAAATCCATAATCGTTGATAGAACTAAATATTAATGATTATCTATATGAAAATTGTTCATGACACTTGTGATGAAATAGTGTTTGAATTTACTGAGACAATACACAGACTTGAAGTGGTTATTCATGCACTGCATCTAACTTCTGTTCACGATGATGTTTTGTCAGTAATCCATTGCCCGATGTCCGAGTCCAGTGTATTTTTCTGTCGGGCAAGCAAATTTGTATATCACACTGTATCGGTGTCCAGTTGACTTCCAATGTTGTTTATTTGAAAAACCAAGAAGAAAATGGTCGGTATAGTGGGAAAATTAAATTGTAAGTGAGTTTACATGTTCCACTGTACCGGAGTACACTATCAATTTTAAAGTTATTTCCAGCCCTGCTAAATATGTCACCACTCACCAGGGATGTGACACATGTTGATTTGTTTCTAATTTTTTTGGTATTTTTGCTCAAGGTTTCTCCTCCAATATTTCTCAATACATGATCAATATTCAGTTAATGGTTATTGATCTCCACAATCTACATGGATGGTGAGTCCTAAACATAACTATTGAAGCTTCCACATTGATGTTACCGTGACCTGAGTATCACACCGCACATATGACATATCACACATGCCAGGTTCTCATCACAAAATAACCAAAACAGATAGTATTTGACACACAATAATTTAACCGTTTAATAGCTATAATATTTCAAAGATGTTTAAAATTCAGATGTACATGGAAGGATCTGTGAACAGCCGAACATTGGAAAAAGTAGGTCCGACAGCTGTGCAGTTTGGAATTCACCTAAGCTCCCCGTATTGCAATGCTATGTGGCTATCATGAGATTGCATCCATATGACATAAAGGGTGAAGGATGCATGAGTTTGTTGATGGGATCGACTAGCACAGGCTTCGATTTAGTTGTATAACCCATCATTGAATACTGTCACTGAATGTTTTTCTCCACATGCACTTCAGCTGGCTAGTGACCATAATCATTTACTGAATATTGATTGATTATCAATTGATATGTAAGAAATAACAAAAATGAAAAAAAATGTTGGGACACATTCCTGCATGGGTAACTAAAAACGTGATCAGTAAAGTGCAAATAGTTTTGGGCACAAGTCTGTTTAGGTGTATTAAAACTTATATCAGGCCACAAATATGTTTTTAGGGTAACATGAAATTATAAAACAGGGTCGGTAGGTAGGGTTTATCTTGATTTTTTTTCTTACATTTTTTTTAAGATGCACTCACATATTATTCATAAAACCACATATTTTATGTAATATCAGGCACCAGTTTTGAAAGAAAAGAGGGGAAACCAGTTTAAAATTTTAATAACTGAAGCATCAACACTTTCTAAATTCAACATTTATGAAAAACAGGAGTAATTGAGCACAGGTCACATGGTCGCCCCCAACATTGGGGAGTACATACTGTTGGAATAGCAAAATGTTTCGCCGTCTCTTAAAAAAACGAGAAAAAAAAGTTTAGGGTCGGGAAGTTTGTGTTGGGGTCGGTCGGGAAACCATAATCACACATATTATTTTTTTTTGGCCTCATTTCAAGTGTTTTGTCAATGACATAATTTTCTTATCAATAATTGTTACGTTTTCGTGCTGTCTTAGGCTTGACTTCATCAACCTGTGTCGTACTTTAAGATAATGTACTGAATTAATTTACAAACTTATAGCATCCTGTTTCACTTAAGAGGACAGGTCACAGTATGATATTTAGACAATGATAGTCTTGTGTGGTGGTTTCCATTGATTGCACCCATTTCTGGTGTCCCCCCAGCTATGAATTTGCTGGAATATTGCCAAAAGCAGCGTAAAACCCAAGTCACTCACTTAGTGTACCAGTTGGTACTTACAGAATCAAAAGTCATGACAATGTCAACAGTTTTCTGAGAGTTGTTTCTATAGATAATCGTGAGATATAACACCAGTATGTAGTCTTGTTTAGTAGCTAGGTATTGTCAACATGCACCTGGTACAGGTGTATCATGTCCTGTACTAGCATAAGCTGATATTCCATTTGTCTCCACGGTACTTTGAGAGCATATTTTTATCAATGTTATTTACAGAGGATGCTCCTTTTTAACTAAAACTTACAACGCAGAAAAGGCAAATGCTATTGGTGCTATGATCAGCGACAGTGATGAGGAGAATGATGAGAAGTTTGTCGACATGATCGATGACAACACCAGCAGGAAAGTGAACATTCCAGCCATGTTCCTCATGGGGAAAGACGGGTAAGCTCTCACATGTTGTCCTACCAGAAGCTCACACATGTTGTCCTACCAGAAGCTCACACAGGCTCTTGTCCTGCGAGAACCCCACACAGGCTCTTGTCCTGCTAGAACCCCACACAGGCTCTTGTCCTGCTAGAACCCCACACAGGCTCTTGTCCTGCGAGAACCCCACACAGGCTCTTGTCCTGCTAGAACCTTACACAGGCTCTTGTCCTGCTAGCACCTCACACACTCTCTTGTCTTGGCAGAAGCTCACACAATTTCTTGTCTTGCTGAATGCTCACAGAGGCTCTTATACATCCAGGAAATAGTTGACTGTTAACTGCTATCTCACAGGCTCTCGTTTTGCCAGAAGCCCAAAGGCTCTTATCCTGTCAGATACTAGCTTATACAGATAGAAATATAGTTCAAGAAGATTTTGGATCATAATGCTAAAACATCCTTAGTAAAATATAATAGCAGCTAACTCCCAGGATACCAGACAGCCCCCTTAGTTCAAGGGTTCTTGATCATTACCCAGGGACAATGCACTTATCCTGGAACATTAAGATGCTTGAATAGTGATCACCTATCAGAACTAAAACTCTACTACACCTCAGGTTTCACATCACGCAAACTGACTGAGCCCAGCACACTGAATGATAAATTGATCCTTTTGTAAATCGTTTTACTCCCACGGTCGATGTGTACAGTGTACAAATCATACCAAATGATGTTATTCTCTGTCAAATTGTTAATTACATTTGTTTTCTATTTCATATGTTCATGTACATATAACACTCTGTAACTTCCGTTTCAGTGCTATGATTCGTCACACACTGCAACAGTTAAATATGGATAGTGCTCTTATAAATATTCCAATCAATGTGACTGGTATACCCTTGGGACGTGTCAACCAGCCGCCATGGACACTGTGGTAGCAGTGTCGACACAGTGCCACGCCCACTTCACACAGCACCACGCCCACCTCACTCTCATGTAGTGGGGCTACAATAAACCTCGTTATGTGAAGAGCATCTACTGTTTTTCTGGATAGTGCTTCCAGCGTCCGATGAACATTGAATGTCTGTATGCAGTTCAGGAACTGAAGAGGAGGCAAACAACGATTTGCAATTGTTACTTGTCTACTGTAGCAGCTATTAAGATTTTTCATGGTTTACAGTTTCCACAAATATTAAAAGTATATATGAGGAATATGAGAGCCATCATTCAATGTCAGTTCAGAGCTTATGGGGTCAGTAAGTGGGTCGAAAATAGTTGCAGCAGTGAATTGGACCCAAAGTTAAAATTTATCTAACATGATATTAACAATCTCTCTCAACAGCAGTGTTAAATGTTTATTATCAGTGTAGTTTGAAGATTGTGTCTTAAATTTGGTTATTATGATTTTAATATTGTGTGGGTGTGATTGTTAACATTTATCACGAAACTGGTCACTAATTAAAAGTAATACCATTAACATGAAACATATTTCATATTTAGTCTCAATGTAGCAGTTATTGTAATCACTAGCTCTGAAGTGAAAGTTTGTTTGCAGAGTGTAATGGTGTGGAGGAAATATTTTACTGGACGAACAGCCATCATCATTGTCCTGCAAAGGGATGTCAGTACTAGGACAGTTTTAACTCTCATTGCGATCACTTTGTAGTAAAGTGGAGGATCCTCACACCACAGACCACCAATCCCAGTCCGATGTTAGCTGTGGATGATCACAGGACTCATACTATTGGTGTGACTTTCAAAAGTTTAGCATCAAGAGTCACAAAGTAGCTCTAAGAACCCCATAATCCAAATTCTTAACGTAAGTTTACCACTGTTGTGAAGCCTTTATCACTTTATGAAACGGGTGGCTGGACTGCACTGACGGAAAAATCAACATGTCCCACTTTAAAATATTACAGTACTAAAACGACCCGTGAAGTTCCGGGTTAGAATATTGATCTTCAGTAACTAGTGATGTTCCGATTAATTGAAATAATCGAAGATTGGTCGAAGTGACTAAACGACCAAGCAATCGATCACATTTTCTCATAATCAAACACAAACGATTTTGGAACTACTGTTTTAGTGTTTGAAACACTTGACGATGGAACATATCATAGAAGCTGTCAGGGCCTGAAACCTTGTTTAATTCTTAGAAAACTCACTTCACTAACTGAAAAGTCATGACTAAATATTTCTTGAAGACTCCAGAAAGTTTATGTTCATGATATATTACTCATCACTTTAAAGTAGCAAGTTGCATCATGTTATACATATCTACAATAACAACCTTGGTAGGAAAATCTGAAAAATAACGCTAACCAATTTTTTTCGATGATTGTTCGTTGGTAATGAAGCAATCATCAATTGTGAGATTTCAACCAATTCCAAACACTATCAGTAACCCATGCTTGTCGTAAGAGACGACTAACGGGATCGGGTTGTCAGGCTCGCTGACTTGGTTGACACATGTCATCGGCTCCCAATTGCACAGATCGATGCTCATGCTGTTGATGACTGGATTGTCTGGTCCAGACTCGATTATTTACAGACCACCACCATATAGCTGGAATATTGCTGAGTGCAGGGTAAAACTAAACTCACTCACTACAGTACTCAAACACTGGGAAATGGTAGTTTAATCCCTTGATATAACCTGATCCATCAGTCTCAACTTTAGAAATCCTTAAATTGTTCAGGCCAATGACTTTATTTTTCTGTCATGGACATATAACCATATAATTTATCAGCTGTTACCATATTTAGCCAATATTATATGATTCTTTGTGATTTTATGATTATCATGTTAAAAGATACACTCATTACCAATTTTTTTTCAAAAATGTGTTCACAATGTACAACCCTGTGGTAGAAAACTGCCACTAGCCTGGAAAATAAGGGATTAACAACTTTTGAATAACTGGTGAAGGTTGGAGCATGTGCTTTGTCTAACATGGACGTAAAATGCTTTCTTGCCACAGTTGTTACTAATACATTGATGTGAGAGAAGGGAGAACCTCACTCTGGCAACTGTCTGGGCACTCTTGTTCCGGGTCAGGGGCGACTAAGGGGTTTGGGTGGTCAGACTCGCTGACTTGATCGATGTTCAGGCTGTTGATGACTGGATTGTCTGGTCCAGGCTTGATTATTTGCAGCCCGCCGCCATATAGCTGGAATATTGCTGAGTGCGGGGTAAAACTAAACTCACTCCGTCACTCTTGGTCAGGCATCCCCCTGGTCTAAGTGTCTGGAATTCACTGTATTATAGGATCTGCTGATCACTGCCCTGATCATCAGCATCATAGTTCTTTCTATCACAGGAATGATGTATGTGATGTCTTTGAAATCCTGTTCAAACAGGACCGTCTCACTCAGGTACTCCTCGGACATATACCACAACCTTCTGTGAGGAATAGTTTCTTTGTAAATATAACTGATAATAAGAGCAGATATTGGCCCAGCCATTAGTGTGTCAGCATGGATAGGTAGAATGTTGTCCAGTGTGGTAATATGACATTTACAGGTAGTCTGTAGTGACGTGTAGACAGTGGTTTAACATCAAAGTGGTGTTAATGTTGAACCTTGCATATTGTTATAGTCTTCCTAGAAAATAGGAGGATGTGTGTATATTGGTGTTCATCCATCCTCTAGATCTCCAGGGCTCTCATTTCATTTATACCTACACTAACTCCTGGATTTATTCCTGTGGTTCTTGCAAGCTGTGATTAACTGCCCTTGATTTTTATTACTATTATTCTGACCAATAAAAATATGGAAATAAGGGAAAAGGAAATGGGTGAGGGAGGACATGCCACCATGAGTTCACATGAACATGAAGATGTCCTGTCCATGAAAAACCTGCATGCCAACTTTTCAGTGTTGAATTTTGAGCAAACTGTGGGATTGGCTGCCATTTTGTTGATATCAACAACCCAACAATGAGGCTGTAACATGCATTTTGATTAGTCCATAAGGCGGAGTACCACTGCAAATCGGTTTTGACTCATGAAAATCAAAGGGGGCATGGAACCAGGGTCTAGTGTAGGTTTATCCAAAAGTGGAGCAACTGTGACAAAGAGGATGGTCTCCATAAATGCCCAAAAGGTAAGAAAATGTTTAAGCAAGAGTTTGCGTGTTTTGATCAAAATCATGAGACAAAACTGCCTCGATGTTAGTAGGTGTTACAACCATCTTGGCAAATTATAAATATACTTGGATTCGAATCCCATATTAGCAAATACCTCCTGGTGTTTGGTGTGATAGATGAGCACACCTACCACTGGGCCACCTCCAAGAACCTTGTAAGACCTGGCTCCAGGAAACTAGTATTTACATTGGTTTGAAGTAGGGTGAAAAGTGGGCCCCTCCTGGTCAGTCTGTCTGCTCGACAACCACTCTCACTGGCTAATTTAGTTGACACTGGCAGCGTCACTCTGTCCTGGAATCCCCATTATGTGGTCGAATGGAGAATCTTGTGCCTAACCACATCTTAACTGTTCTGCAACCGTCCATTTACGTGAAATGTCCCATGTTATACATACTAGACTGCAGTCAGGTTTGACCACGTGGACTCGAAGCACAAACACTGCCATGTTGAATGAGGTCTGAAGTCCCACAAGTCCTTATCAATGTAAATTTTGTCCCTTAAAACTGACAGTCACTGTGTCACTGATCTCATGCTGATGTATATTTGAGATTCATGGGAACCCTAGATTCAAATATATCGACAAACCACAAAGACCCACCTTAACTTCAGTCCTGGCTAAGATTGCTGTGTGAAACGAGGCCGTGGTCCAGGTCTTCAAAGATTTTTTTAGTGTTGACTGTAAAACTGGGAGTTGTGATAGCAGAGGCACTGATTACCTTGTGAAACTGGAAGGAAGGCCTGCACCTCACAGAAATTGTTCTCAAATATACGATATAGTACAGAAGTTTGGAATATTGTATCACTGACAGCACTCCCCTTGAAAAGCCAGATGTAAAGAATGTGCTGTAGATATTGTACACAACGCACACATAATGTACATGTATATCTGTCTCTGATGAGTGCATACATGCTCACACACTTTGTTTAGATTGTGTAGACATTTTTCATGTTGCTTTGGACACCCAAACCTGGGGTTGGTCAGACAGTTGCCATCCACAAAACCTTCACTACCATCATCATTATTCTATTGTTTCTACCCTACTATCATCTCTCAACATAAAGTTATCATGTAATGACTTGTCATGAAGAATGAAAAATGATTGCTGTTTGTGATTCATGATCTGAAGATGTGTTGTGATCTGATCTGATCCTGCAAATTAAGCATTGATTTTCCAGAGATATTGTAAGTTGTCAAGAATTTGAGTGTGACTGACAGTTGTTACTCTAATAGCATATAAATATGACCTTCCACCAGGCATACCGTCGTTTCGGTGTTTGGTGAGTTGACAACATCCATCTCCTCCACCTTTGGTGTCGAATGTTTTAGAACCCAAGGTAATTTCTGATTTATCGGGGGCTGTGGAGTAGCCTAGTGGTTAAAGAGTTCGCTCGTCACGCCGAAGGCCCGGGTTCGATTCACCTCATGGGTACAATGTGTGAAGACCATTTCTGTCCCTAGCCATGAAATTGCTGGAATATTGCTAAAAGCGGTGTAAAACCAAACTTGCTCACTCTGATTTATGTACGCAATGACTATTTAAAACACTTCCTGCAATAACCTTGGGCCACATGGCAGTCCCAACAATTTCACCATAAATTTCAAATGAATGATGAACCAAAATTATGCAATAGTTGTTAAACAAAAAAGGTCACTTGAAATTGGTATCAGCTCAAGGAGCATGGAAACTTTGTTTTTAGCTGTTGATTGCAGCCAGGGGTAGAACCAGTCATCCATGTTGGAGTGATCTAGTGGTTGTGGTCACAAGTATTTTATGTTTAATATTGGGTGTCTTTGGGATAGTTCAACTGCCATGTGTGGGTAGTGGATTTGGGTATGTTTGCAGAATTGTGCCTTGAGATTCCAATTTTAACTCATAAATGCAATATATTGTTATTAATTTATGAATAAAATATTTTACATCTTTTTCATATCTTATGTTTCTGTGACAAATGGAATATTCAAAGGGGTTAACTCCAGGACTATATTTAAAACAGCTCAACAATTAAGTCTCGATTGAATGTTTTTGCACTGGTGAACCCGACACACATAGCATTTTGAATAAAACAGATTTGAAATATCAAATGAACATTTACTATTACATATTTTGCTGCAAACCAAATTCACTCACAACAAACTACCAAAATATGTTCTCAGCTGCCACACAATAATTTGAGAAGACTATATACAACTACCAGTTTCATTCAGGGCTTTCCCATGATCAATAGTGCTTTATTTCAACAAATCAAATCAGTAGATTGAAAGAATTGTCTGCCAAAATCATTTCCTATCACTTTTTACACTTTGATTTAGACTGAAGACAATTTAGTATAAACTTCAAATTTCAACTGTCCTACTTTGTCTCAGTACAAGGGAAATACTTCTTGACTGACAAGCTACCCCCTCTCCCAGCACACTAGAACCATGCACTCAGAGACAACATAAGCAGCAGGTTCATATCTCTTTATGATTTTATTCCATCCTGAACATAGGTACAAACACGCAGCCTTTCATTCTGTTTAGAACAGACCTTTGTACAAACAATAATGTTGAAGTCTGCAGTTACATTTACAAAGAGCCAAGTAAGCCAGGACTTGTCTGTTACTGCCTCCCCTCGACTCCATGAAGGCCTCACTGCTGGCCTTTCACTATGTACAAATATCACTGAAAATTTACAACAAAAATAATAAGTATAAATACTTAACAGTAGAAATTACACTGTGCACTAGCACATCTTCTCACAGACTTCAGAATATTGTACAGTCAAAAATTTGTGAAATAAAGCACTTTCAATCCTTGTCTTAATTGAAATACAGAGAGGCCAGCCCTTTCACCCTGACAGCTAGAAGCATGGCACATCAAACAGCCTAGCTCTGAACAAGACCTTACAGCATCACATTAAACCCATGGACTCTACAAGAACAAATATCACCTATACAGGAATGGAACCTGCCTCTCGTAGTTCAGGACACATGACCTGAACATCACAATGGCCAGAAACTAGTATCTACATCTCACTGTTGCTTAAAGCAAAGAGCCACCAGAACGTCACTGTTGGCTGAGAAAGAGCATCACATCTACATTGCTGTTGTTTGGGCATGGCAATTGTGACCAAGGCTCACTGCCGCAATCCCTGGTGCAGAGACAATGATATATTTGCACCTGCTTCCTGTAACATACCTAACCATCACTGCTGCTAGGGGTAGGACACTATCCAACGTTTGTTAAGATCATAACATTGTCTGTCCTTTTACATTGCTAACGGATTGGTGCCTCCTGAACTATCGCCAGAGTAACGCACCTCCACCTGTCTGTAACTGTACATGGCATCAGCTCTGCCTTGGGTCAGTGTATGAAATAAGCCAAAATCCAGCCAGACATCTGGGCTGGTAACTTCAAAAACTTACCAGCCCAGAAGAGATGTAACCAGTCCTTTTTAAATACTAAACAGACAGTGCCATTGGACACGTTATCTGAATAATTGTTTTCACCCGTCCATCGGGCTGGCTAGCTGTAAAATTATACCGTCCGGCAGAAATCTAGCCCGTCTCGGGCGGTCAGACGGGCCTTATTTCATACACTGCTTGAGGGTACAGCCTCACCTTAACACCTTGGAGTTTAGGGGTACTGCACCATCAGAAGACCTTAGTTACCCCGGTATGTGGGCTAATGCATCAACCAAAATCTTTACTGCTCTGTGCAAGAGATATCCTAAAACTCGTTACTAAGGAAACCTGATGGCCTACATAGAGACAATACTGCTTCCTAAGCAAGCCTGTGACTACCAGTACAGTGTAACCCCCAACCTCACCCAGGATACATACCTGCATCAGTCAGTCAGTCACTCCACAAAGTCATCCTCACTCACACAGCGAAACATACAATCCTGTTGATACAACAGCATCAGACACCAATCATTCTATGACACTACCTGCTTTGTAATCTACATTAACCTGTGTTACAATCTCAGCAAACGTCCCCTAAAGCACAAGCAGTTTCTATGCATTCAGTTGTATCCTATCCCGCAGTATAAGAAAGTAAAAGCACCTGTTTAATTATCAGATACCTATGACAAAATGTATAAATGCTGACATGATGCACAACAATGCCATATTCAGCATAACAATACACATACAATAATCACCCTGAACCTCAACTAGTCAGTACCTTGACAAACCAAACATGTTCATCATCGACAAATGTTAGTAACTCTAGGATCTATGGAAGTCAGTGAGTTGCTTCTTCTCCAATATTACAAAACTTCCCACATACGAAAATATCCTTTATCAAAATAGAGGAATGAATGAAATCAAAAAGGGATAAGATGTCACTTCTACTTGTGAGCAAAACACAGCAAATGTGGAACGCACTTGAAGTACTGTCGCACAGTACAACACGTTTAGTGGATAATCCAACAAATATCACATACATGTAAGCAGTTTTGGCCATTAGTAATACTTCAACACATAATGTTAACAGGTTCAGATTGATCAACCTAACTGTCTGATTACATGAAAGCCACAAACTGACAACTAACCTTATCATACAGAAGTAACACCAAACAAATTCTGTTTTTTCCACTTAACATTTGTTTATTTTTAACACTGCAGAAATATTTCCCAACATCAGGAAGTCAATGTAAGTAGTTGATGGATGATGTACAACAATCACTCAGCAATATCCAGAATTGCTTGACTGAAGAAATGGGAAGTCTATTGTACAACTCATACACAAACTAGTTGCAGATGAATAAAAGGAGATAAGTCTTGCATCAAGACATTCCTCAGTCAGATGGGAAAGGGAATGATCACTGTCACAAGATAATGATTGTGCATTTATATGAATTACAATTGGTGCAGACAGTAGGTAGCCGTGTTCATACTACAGGTGTCGTGAGAGGGGGACACTCCCTGAGCTAACCAGTGGTACGATGAGGGGAACCAACAAGAAAAACGTAATGAATCTTGTCTATCTTATTGACTGTACAAATATATCAGACATTATAACTCCAACACAATCTGCCTGTCTTTCAACCATAATAAGTATAATAACCATACATTCAGAAGACTTGCTGTCTGATACAAAAAATGCTCCAGCAAATGTGTGTCCATATGTATTGTGCAGTATGAAGTCAATGTTAAACCATGACTGACGGAGAGCTGTTGAGAGAGATGCTGTAAGGGCTTTTCAGTGAGGCTACCAAGTTTACACGGGTGAGGTGATTAGACCGACTAATTCAAATAACAATGTGTTATTTTCAAACCTCTGTGAGATACAAGTTTGTACAATGGAGGTCACAATCACTACAGTACATCTATTTTAGAATCCAACTTTATTTTGGTAGGATATTCAAAGATCAAGATATTACATATCACAGGTCTTTAGTCTTGAAAAAAAATGATGAAAATATGCAATACAGTGCCAATTCACAGTAATCGGCACACCCCAAATTTGTAATGAACTTGATACGGTACTTGAATGTACTAAAGGCATCACCATGAGCCTGGCCTTAACCAGGGCACATCACAAATTCTGAATACGACAAACGATTACACTGCTCTATTGTATGTGTCCAAAGTGCACAATAGCAAGCAACTCTGCTTGTATCAAAGCAATAAATAATATAGTAGTCATCCAACTTTGGAATAGGTCTCTTGTTATTCCCATCTGGTTTCTTTGTATATATTAGTGTCACAGTCCAGAAGTGGGGTAATTATTAATGAGGAGGTTCTGTGTCCGAGGCTCGAGGGGGAGGCATGTGTTTGAGCAGATTTCGTTTAGCTGCTGCTGGGTTTATCCTGGGATCCCGTGAGTGCCCCGAGGCCCGGGCAGGTATCTGTAGCATGGAACTACCACTGGCGGAACTACTACTGGAAACACTAGGAGATACAGCGGTAGGATTAGACAAGGAATTATACACTTGACGGGTCCCCCCTCCTCCACCCTGGCTGGATGTCCCCCCAACGTGTTGCCGGCTGCTGGCTGCAGCTCCAGACCCACTTCCGCTTGACCTTTGGCTTGAGGAAGGGGCTGCTGAACTTGTTTGCCGGCTTTCCGCAGACTTTGTAGTTGTGGGGGCCACACAGGGTATTACAGGTTTACTCTGTGTGGGGCCAGAGGGCTTCTTATCATCACATGCCTTGGACTCTCCCTGTACTTCTTCAGATGAGGGAGATTTGAGAGCTTCTAGAAGCGCGGAAGGGTCATCACTGTCCCCCTGGACCTGTATCTGGTCTGTAAGTGTTGACAGCAACAACTCCTGCACAAACATACTGCGGTCACTGCGCTCCATCTCAGCTTTCTGTTCCGACTCTGACAACTCGTCACTACATCTGTAGGAAGCAAGCATAGCATGTGTAATGTGAGACAATTATACAACACATGCAAATACATTTACTGCTAAATACACTTGTGCTGACCTTACCAGACACAGATAATAACGGGCAAAACACATGCCATGGAGAACATAAATATATGAGACACACCCATCAAGGCATCAGTGGGAAGGTCAAGGTTTTTGCAGCTTGAACTGTATCAAGACATTTTACTACACATGACTCAAATAACTCAAAGAGAGAATAAATTTTTCCCGAACGTAGTTATTCACACCAAAAAGAGGAATTCTTGTACCCAAAATTGTAAACAGTTTCATCTTAAACAAAAGTTGAGATTTGATGGCATTTTATGATATTGACTTACAAGGTTCTTCACATATCCCTTTATCTATAAGACATTCATATAAACCAATTTCAAACTCTAAACCCAGCAACAGCTTCACACTGGATGGAGATGCTAAATACTGGTTGCAAATAAATTAATATCAAGAGCATTCTTATCAGTGGTAACATAAATTGCATCAATGCGGATATCTCTCAGTATGCTGTTCAAAAGGCACTGCAGAAAGAGGGAGCACTGATGCATTGTCTAGCCTCCACAATAACACCGCAAAAATCAAGTTTTCATTCTGTTCTGTCATCAATCATTACTAGATCAACTCTTCACAGCATTAACTAATCTTGAAATTTCAACCCATTTTCAAACTGAGATTTGAATCAGTCTGCGAGTTGACATTGAACTCACTTGACAAGAAGATAGAGAGAATTGGACTGGCTGCTCCCCCCACTGCTGCCTCCTTGGTCAGCATTACTGTTCTGGGCATTAGACGGCAACGCCACCTTGGCCGCCTCGGCCTGTCGGCGCGGCAACCTCTCCAGTTGTTGTCTGAAACAAGGACAGAACATTAAATATCACACACACAGTCATATTATAAGAGTTTCTGGATAATGAGTCACACCCTCTTTTAGTGATTTTAAATGTCTGCCATGACGTGTAGTGTGTTCAGTCAAAGTCAAGTCACTAACCAGTGTTCAAAATTAGGGTCCTGAAGTCCTTCAGGTTTGATGCTTCAGTATTTGAGCCCAAAGATCCCATTGATTTTTCAGTTTTAATATAAGGGTTATGAAAATGACCTCTTGACTTTGAGGTAGTGACAACAATCCTACATTATGTCATCTGGTAGATGTCAACCAATGAACTATAGTCAGTGATCATCATCTCCTAGCTTACAGGAAGTCTTAGAATTATCCCCCTTCCACAACTCAAGCCTAGATACTTTTCTTGTTGAAAGCACTTCAATAAATAATTTCCTACAATGACCAAATTGCCAATTCTGTGATACACTGGTTAGTGTAACAGAATGACTAATCTGTGACTCATGCACCAGAAACCAGTGATAGATGGTCTGGTAGACTCGGCTCCAGGCACAAGGACTCCTGTGGAAACAAGCGTAGAGATGTTAATGGTGAACTGAGGAAGGAGGAGAAGGAGGAAGAGGATGAGCAGTGATGGAACTATTTACCTGTTGTAACACCACGAGGATATCTGTTGACTGTTTCTGAAAAAAATCAATTTTCAACATTACAGAAATTCCAGAGTAATTCCTGTCATCACATATAGACAATAAGCCTGTGTCGACAGAGTCTTGGGCATTCCCACACCAGGATTCGGGAACAGAAGATATAAGATGGTTAGAAGACAAAGTGGGTCAATAAAAAAACATCTACTTTTATGTAACATAAACAACAAAGCAGTTTTACCAAAAAATTAGGTGACAAAAAGACATGGGAACTGTCATGAGAAAAGTGGCAAAGAAAAGAAGAATGGTTGAAATGAATTAAGGGAAACAGAAGGTTTAAGTGTGAAACATACAATTAGAACTAATTACTCAGAAAAAAGTTTTCAAAATAAAGGAAATGATCTGCATTCTTCCCAAACCATAAATTTGCTACAAGCCTATTTCAAGAAGCAAATAACGTCAACAAATTAACTGGAACAGCATAAGAAATGATAATCAACCAGATCAAGATATAAACAAAATGGATCTGCAAATACCAATGTTGACAGTTGATGATGTCTACATCCAGTCACCTCAACAGGCTGAAATTGCTGGGGTGCACTGGACCAAAGAAATAAGTAAAGAAATTTATCCTTTCATAATCAAACAGTTGTGTGTGTGGTACAATGTCAGGATGAACCTTCAGAGCTGAAGGGGAGGTAACTGGGGTCATTGACACACACAACAGTGCAAACAAAGGGTACCAGCAATTTCATTGAACAATAGCAAATTGAAAGCTGTTTTGTGCATTTCCTGGATTCATTGACTGGAAATAAGCCAAGTTATCTTTTCTTGCCAAACATTTTGAGATTTTGTTTCAATCCAATACCAAGCCATCAAATTACCTATAAAAATTATATAATCCTTTATGCATTAACTGAAAAAGATTCCTTTACAGCTTGGGTATGTTAATGACAATTGCTGCAGACTTGAGGCTTAAATAGCAGTTTTTATCTGACCCTTATCATCTTAAGAAAATACAAGTGAAATTGAGCTCTTTTATCCTAAAGAGGGTCACTGAAGTTTGCTGCCACAGTACTCAAACAATGTTGTGTTGAACGTTTACGTGCTAAGCTTACAGTTGTCTCAACATAAAAACTAGGTCCATATTAGGGCTGGGACGGGTACAGCTAGAATCGAATACTATTTCTAGGAATCGAGTACCCGGAAAAGGAGATAACTCTGTAATGGCAAGGGCAGATAATAACTTGTCTTTTTCATTATTGACGTAACACACATTTGCATCATTGGCATTGTCCGATTAATGGAGGTTGTTATTAACAACTAATATATCTGAGCATGAGCAGTGAGGAGTCAAGTTACAGTAACAGCGGTCCTGTGTTTTAATGAGGAATGCATGTAATGGTGTTATTCTCTATATTTGTTAAATGGATGTAAATTAAATAGCCTAAGTTCAGTTTCAGTGTCTTATTGCCATCCTTTCAAGTTTTCTATAATAATCTCTGTCAACTCGTGATTGAATATTCTGAAAGTTGACAGAAGTGCTTTATTTATTACATTTCCGGGTATTCGATTCCGGTAAGTACATGCGAGTACTCAATTCCATTTTTTCCTACCAGTCTCAGCCCTAGTCCATATATATTCTGTATACATTTTTCGTTGCAAAATTTGACACCACTTTTGAGGAATATAAACTGAACTGGATAGGCACTGTCAAAAATAAGTTCACTACATTGGGTCATGGTTAAGACCCTTGTTTATAGCATGTGTCATAAAATGTATCAAGTTGTTTCCAGTTGATTTTCAGATAAAATATTTTCATATTTTTTTATATTATTTTTAAGTTTCAAGTAGATATAATATTGTCTTCAGATCAGTAGCAGCGGGTACAGCTTATGTCACTAAAGGCAAGCATTTGGTTTAAATCCTGAGAACTTGTACCATTTGGAAACTGCAGCTTCTACAATTGTGAAACATAACAATTTGTCAGCTGGTCCTTTGATTGCAGTGTTGTGTGATCGGGGGAGAGACACTCACCTAGTTGATTGTAGCTGCATCTCCAGCTGCTGTAACTGGGACGACACCGACTGTGCAGCTGCCGCACGACTTCGAACACTGGAGAGCTGAGACAGCAGCTCTGTAAACCAAATCCAGCAGTTAGTGCCTCAGTCACATTGGAAACACAATAACACATGAACAGGTCCCCCCCAAAGTGATGTAAGCTTCAAAAACCTTTTACCATAGTCAAGAGTTACAATCATACTAGTGCTACAATCACATTGTGGGACCAAACCTACCACAGTTTTAAACAACTTATCACATTTCAGTTTTTTTATCTCCAATTTGAACACTCATGGAAATGGTCAAAATAGCCAGATGCATTAACCCTTACTCCACATCTAGATTTGAAGTTCAGGGATAATGTAACCTTAGAAACAAGCAGAATCCTTATCAACCACATGGTCAAACATGGTGCTTGTTCTCAATAGGTATGTTGTCAGTGATGCACAGGCTTCACACAACATGATTTCACTCAAGGCTGATCCACAACACTGACTGTCCATCAACATGTTAATATACTAACATGTTGATCTAAAGGGCAGGAAGCATACATCTAAAACCTGCAATATTGAGTTTACTTAATAATAAGACAGAACACCAAGTCATTTTCCCACATTAAGAAGCATATTGTTTTAACTTGTTGCAATTACCTGCAATTGGATCCATAGTTTCTCTGCCACTTGGTGAAAGCCCGGTGAGTGCTGTCCCAGTAGATGCAAAATGCATATTAGCTCGCCGTGTGCGTGAGCCACTCACTCCCCTACCTGGGTGAGGAATACGTCGCACATGACGCATGCCTGCAGGTTCATCGTAAGTATGGTTAAGGAAGTTCAACATTAATCTTCTTTATAATAATCTACAAATGGTAATATGTGTGTAAGTGTGAGTAAGTGTGGGTTTAAGTGTGAGTGTAAGTGTGAGTGTAAGTGTAAGTGAGTGCATGTGTGCGTGTGTATGCATGCATGCATGTGTATTTTGCTTAACTTGAGGAAATGTCAAAGAAATAATGAAATCTAGTCTTTTCTTAAGGATTTCAGCTTATAAGGTTTCCTGCTTGATTGATATTATTCTTTGTAACAGTCACACGTTTTGTATGCTAAAAGGATATGAAATCTCTGGGTGTCCTGTGTTCCAGGGTGAGATGGGAGGCGAAGTCATCAGTGACATGATTGGGGTCACCGCCGGGGAGGGCCGCACACACCGGACACACCTGCACAACATCAATACATCATTCCCATCATACACTGATTCAACAGGGAAGTCTAGAGGTCCCTGTCACAACACTTGAATCTCAAACAGCTTATACCAAATACCGATATGTTAATGGGAAAGGCTTATTCAGACATGTTATGTTAAACAAATGCTTAATAACTAAGTATGGAAGTCAGGCAGTCCCTGCTATAATTCTTACATAAAACATTTACGATTTAGGTCTTAAAAATCATATCAGCAACAAAGCCTGATAAGTTTTAAAACTGCTGAAGTTTTAACAAACAATAATTTGTTAACGACAGCTTAGATCTGACCAACTCTGACAGTAAAGCTCTGACCAACAGTGACAGCCTAGATGAGACAACTTACTTACTACAAAGTACTGTCAGAAATAGAAAAAAACTGTTTTTTCGCATTGATATCTACAATTTATGTAGTTAATATGTGTAAATGTGAAATATCTGTTGAATTAAGTTCAGCCTAACTACAGTCTCAGTGGTAGGGAGATAGGAAACGTAGAAAAAGGACTTTACTGAGGAGAGATTAGTGCAGAAATCAGAACTGCGAGGTTTTTCTAAGTTCAAAGCGACTTATTTGGAACAGGCCATGGCTTTATGCAAATTAGTGTGCAATGATATTATATTACAAAGGACAATTTTTTGCATGTCCATTTTGAAATTAAACTTAGCTTCATTATAAACGATAGCTGACATAAACAATTATTATTTAAATACTGAAACTATGAAGAATGTAGCTGCCATGGAGTCTCACTACCACTATAAAAAGAAACAGGTAGGAGGGGTCGTCTCAAAAGCAAAACCAAGACGGTTGTTGCTGACGGTAGTTGGGGTCGGGCTTGGGGATAGAGATATTAGCTAAGATTAGATAATCAGTAGAGACATAGTCCGTACACATGAAAAAGCATAAAAGATATTTGAGATGACCCTTTGTGTCTGTGGGCAGCACTTGTATTTCATGCCAAGTGAGTTGACGGTCCGCTGTCATACCTGACTGAGTGACCTAATTGCTATCTGTAGTCTGATCTATTGTTTTCAGCAGCTGTTCGTATTTTTTCTAAGTTTTGCCCGATTTTACGAGTAAACAAGCTTTTCTGGATATCTTATTATGCATCCCACTGAACGCCCTGTTAGGCCAATAAGGGTTATTTCGACATATGCTATTTGCAAATGTAGGGATACAGAGTAACCGCCTAAAAACAGTTTTTCCTATTTCCAACAGTACTTTAATGTTGGCAATTGGTTCATTACCAACGAACAATGATAGAAGAAAATTAGTTAGTATCATTTTTTTTCAGATTTTCCTGGTTGTTATTGCAGATAACTATAAAGAAAAAACATTGGTTCTCTTGTTGTTTTTTGTTATATTTAGAAACTGAGGAAACAGCATTTGCAAATTTCACATCCAATGTAAAATGATGCAACATGCTTATATATCATGAACATATAAACTATTCAGTCATGACTTTTCAGTAAGTGAAGTGAGGTTTCTAAGAATAAAACACGTTTTCAGGCCTTGACAACATCTAACATATGTTCCATCATCAAGTGTTTCAAACACTAAAACAATAGTTCCAAACTTGTTTGTGTTCGATTATTAAAAAATGTGATCAATTGGTCGGTCGTTTGTTCACTGCAACCAATCTTCGATTATTTCAATTCCTCGGAACACCATCACAACTTACCACTTCTACTGAGGCATCAGCATGTTCTGAAGTGACGTGGTCATGTAGTGTGGCCTCTGGGAATCCCATTTTCCCACAATAAGGGCATGTGAAAGACTGAGGTTGTTCAGTGGTGAGGGCCTCTCCTCCATAGTATAGATCTACAACAAACCCATCATATTAGCTCATCATGGTGTTATACCAAACATGTGTCACAACATTCAAAACTGTGATAATAATCTACAATTCCACATGAGGTAATAAAACATAAGTAGAAAAACAGCTTGTTCTCTTCCACACTTCTATTAGTAGGTAAGGTGAGGTGAGGTGAAATTGGGTTTAACGTCGTGCTTGAGAATATTTCGCTCATATGACAACGTGCATGTGTGTGTATGTGCGGCTGCTTGTACTAGCCCAGACTGAAGCTGGTTTTATAGTGCTAGCTCACTGAAATACCATGCCGCAGTGAAGCATGAATACCCCACTCAGACACATTATACTGACTCCGAGCCGACCAGTCCTTGTTGTACCCATTAATGCCGAGCGCCATAGTAGGTAAGGCAGTGTAATGGCAAATATATTGTATTGCAACATATCGCGACACATGTATCTGTATTGCAATACATATTGCGATTATTGTAATGCAAACTAACATGTTTGAAAGTGAGTGGCACTGACTGTACACGCAGATGCTATTTTCTACAAACCAAGGCCCTAAAAATGTTCTGATTTTCTAAAAAAAGTTAGGATAGGTAGTGTACTTCTTCATTTTTTATACAATTCTCTGAGTGTAAAGTATGCCATTTTGAAGTTGATTATGAAATGCAACATCAGGCATGAATGAAGTACTCTATAGGCTTAAAGTTAAACCACAGAGACAATGACAAAACTTGTTGTAATTGTGTACCCAACATATGAGTTCTAAGAACAAGTATTGCAACACATATGGTTTGAAAGGCATATATTGCAGTAGACCAGCAATACATACAGTCTAAGACCTATATTTTCAACTAGCTTGTCTCAAAACAACACAATACAATACAACCTTTATAAATTGTGTAACAGTTTGCTGTCAAAAAATGCATTATTTCCAATAACACGGAATATGCTCCTTTCATGAATTACTGCTCTCTGCATTAGGCCTAAAAAGAAAAATGTTGTGGTTCCGATTACCGACCGACCCTTGAATCCTGGTGTCGATCCTATTTTTATTAAGCGGAATGTATAAAATAAGCGTTCAGATACCATTGTTTTCCCCCTGCACAGATGGACATCAGTCATTCTGATAGGAAAAGTCGACATGCTGGTCGCAAGCTTGATTGAATAAACAATTACACATTGATAAATGTGTTATTAACACACACAGTTATGAAACAGCTATGGATTGTAGTTACCAATACACATCATTGAACTGTTCTGTGCTTAAAAGGCCATCAACTAATGTTCTGGTTATTTTCTTAAACAACCTGCTCAATCACAACATTTGCCATTATTATATAGAAATAATATAATATATCATCTTATAAGTAGGGATAGTCTGATGCAGACATAAATTGAGTTTTTTTACCGAAGTCTGTCCGCGTCAAGATACACTGCATTGGGTGTTCAGTGGTGTGTCTTGTTGTAGTGGCCCCCGCCTCGTAGCATGTTGAACACAGGTCATAGTCATAGCAGATCAAACACTTGTATCTCTTGCCCCGAAAATTGCCTTTTAAGCAAGAGTCACAGCTGACACCTGAAAATAATTCAAATCAAGACATGCATTAGCTCATTGTCAGGACCAAGATAAGGGGACATCCTCAAACAGCAGATGAAACATAATTTGATTCAATTACGTGCAGGACCTATTCACCATCGTTCTTCGTCCTGAGTGCAGTTTGAGCGAGATGATGTTCAGTCAAATGACACTCATGAATAAGCGAATTTTGTGCCAAGTTACTGATCAGAAAGATTAAGATGTCATCACTTTTGAAAGAAAGCACTGTGGCTGTTATCAGGGTATTTGTAGTAATCCAGTAGAAACATCACAATGTGTCATACAAAATGCTTAACTTCAAAATCTGGTGACGAGTGATAGTGCAAACACTCTACAGATATTAGTGCTGTGGGTCATTAGTTCTTCAGTAATCTAGTACTGCATCACCAAACAACTATTTTACACTGGTTCCAGTTAATCCTTTCAAGTAATCATATTCATCAACTCAGGGTGCAAGGAAAGTGAGTAGGCAAAAACGAGCAATAACAATTATTATGAAACAGTCAGCATCATTCCACCAACATCCTGCCAACATGTAAATTAGAAGACTGCTGCAGAAATATCAGAAGGTGACAGCATGATGATGATCCATGCCAATAAGCTGGGTAATGCTAACCAAGCCAAGAATCACAAATGTTTTCCCAATATTTAGGTGATGAATGAATTACATCAAATATTGGCCCTTGATTGTTATGGTGTGTAACTGAAAATGACCTTCCAAAATTCCAAGTCCATTCACCATGTTCTATGATTAATAACTTAGAAGTAACATACATGTATAATTGACAATGACTGAAACATATCAAACATTTTCCCCCAATAATTACCAAGCATTTAAAACAAATTTAACTAGTCAAAAATATGCATTGGTATGAATGTTTTCACCTTTGCACATGTTAGATGAACTAAGGTTTATCAATGTAACAACACCCGAGTAAGTTACTGTCACACTGTTTGAATGAATGTCAATGACCAGTCACTTGTGTAATCAGTATGCCCTATTGTTGTGACCTGGGGGCATGATTACATGCTCCAGCAGATGTTCTCTGACAGATAATACCTACTAACCACTAATAACGCTGATCCGGTGGATAACACTACTCTATGCCATAAGCTTGTTTAGAAAAGTAGCAAGAGAGATATGTTCAACTGTTAATAGGAAAACAAAACAAGAAAATGCAAAAACTACTGTTTCACAGTCATCAAGAGCAATACATATCATGCATCAGTCAATCATAGAGACCATGAAATAGATACAGCTACTGCAGCAAGTCCAAGATAGTTTCCAAGTGTGGATTATGTACTTTCACAATCAGAAGAGTCTAGACTTCTTTATGTTATCATGCATTAAGTAGTGTTGGGAATTGGTTGAAATCCCACAATTGATGATTGCTTCATTACCAATGAGAAATCATCGAAAAAATTGGTCAGTGTCATTTCTCCGATTTTCCTATTCAGGTTGTTATTGCAGATAAGTATAACATGATGCAACTTGCTACTTTAAAGTGATGAATAATATATCATGAACATAAACTTCCCAGAGTCTTCAACAAATATTCAATCATGATGTTTGAGTTAGTGAAGTCAGGTTTCTAAGAATTAAACATGTTTTCAGGCCTTGACAACCTCGAAGATATGTTCCATCATCAAGTGTTTCAAAGACTAAAACAGTAGTTCCAAAATTGTTTGAGTTCGATTATGAGAAAATGTGACAGGTTGCTTGGTCATTTGGTCACTGCGACCAATCTTCGATTATTTCAATTAATCGGAACACCACTAGTATTAAGAAAATTCAGCGACAGTTTGGGTTCTTAATACTTTGATGCTAAATGTCAATCACAAATGTACAGAAGTCATGTCTCAAGAGATTCATTTAAAACATTTTCGTTTTAGTTATGACATTTTCTACCCTACCATGCAAAACTTGTACAAAATATGGTTTCCATGGTGATACAGTTTCAGTGTTCAGGATTTCTGTGGCATGGGATTTGAGACAAAAATATAATAAATAGACACATTTTAGCACTTTTAAGTTTGTGCTTAATGTTGAAACAGAATCAATTAACCTAATCCTTGGCTATGAATTGCCAGCATGCTACATTGTGATACTGTACCTAGTTACTCAACATCTGCTCAAATTTCTAACAAATACTTCTGACATTGAAAGTTAAAACAATGGTGGAGAACCAATTAGAAATGTCATAGTTTACTTGGTTATTAACCATCCTAAGTGATTTTCACAACCTATATTTATTTGCTTGTGCATCTCATTAGTACAGACTCAGTGACTGCATTCACAAAATAACATGAATGAAATGTTAAAAACATTTGTTTTTCTGTTGCAAAAGTTAAGAGACAGCATGCATTACACTTGTATTCTAGTCCAGTACAAGAGCAGTTATGAAGCAGATAAGATATAGTCATTCACATCATTCTGAAACTGCTGATGAATCTGAACAACAGAAGGACATTCTTTAAACATACACTGAACACTTCACTAAATACATCTGTCAATGATCATTTTGAATTTCACCCGTAAGACAACCTACTTTTTATGCTTGCAATTGTATTAGTTTGGGTATGTCAAAGGTCTTGATACATTAGGTTATCAATTCCATATTGAGAAGAGAACAAGAAAAATGTATCAGTATTTCAAAGTCACATTTTAGCAACAAAAAATACTGTGTTCTTAACTAAATTTAGGTTCAAACTTTAGGTCTTATGAATTCAAAAGGAAATGGGTGTGCACTGATCAGTACGTTCAGATCTTTGCACTGTCATAATGATATAACACTTGAATTGCATACATGAGCATAGTGATAAACGCATTATTTAAATAATATGCACAAGATGAAATCAATGAATTTCATACTTTTGTTGTAACCAGAAATCCAGAATCATGCACTGCTGTGACACAGTTGCATCAGATGAAAATTCAAGCATACTCAACATATCATACATTACAAATTATGGGTTAACTTATGACCAAACCACTGAACTCTTCTCCAAACATATATCTTTCGATGTTATGATGTTCATAGTGACTTAAACATATTCTCTGTTATTCGCTGAACAAACAGATTCTTCGGTTCATGGGGATTTCCATGAATTTCTTTACTTCCTAAAATAATCATGTGTCAGACATGGGTTCAACTTCCGGGAAAGCCATGGATAGACAATTGAGCAAAAGTACCATGAAATGTACCAAACTATACAATGTATCATCTGAAGGGGTGAAAAAGTACGAATTAACTTTGATGACTGAATCAATGCCAAATGCGCACAACATAGAGCAGAAATAGAACGAAGCCATTTTGGTCAAGTCTGTATCAAAAATACCCACCTTCATGACGGGACATTCTAACCACAGAGACACGTGGGAATGAGAAGAATCGATCCTAGATAACCAATACTAAATAAACTAGCTATATCAAATGGACAAAGGAAGAAAACTCAACGATCTACACAAATTCAAAGGATTTTCATGTCTGAATTCCAATCTACTTTCAGCTAGCGGAGGCCATGATGACGTCACGGTAAATAACGCCAAATACTCGCCTGAACGGGATTCTTGTTTTTGCATTCTTTTTTTAACAAATAGCCATCCAGGACATTTATACTTATTATTTCACCAAAAAGTATAGTTATAGTAAAAAATAATAATGATTTCGATTTGGAAACCTGTCGGCATTGTATCAAGATGGCGGCGCAAGGTGGTCGCGTGTTGGTGTATGGTGGACGAGGTGCACTGGGTTCTGTGATTGTGAAATATTTCAAAGCTCAAAATTATGTACGTGCATTTCTTACGTGATGCTGATTCCATTGCAGTCAAAAGCTTTTCTTCCCAGTCTCGAAATCAGCGTGTAGAACAACTACGGAAGTGGCCTACGTCACAGCTTTGCATCAATCAACATCATAAATCTCTTTGACACTGTCACAGGCCTTGCGCCATTGAGACAGGAGCTGGTGACCTTGGATGACATTCTATTCCTGTTGCATGCTGGTTTTGGTTTTACTTACGAGTCATGCACATGCTGTCTGAAGCATAAAAGAGTGATAAAGCGCCCGCAATATTTTTTGGACGTGCTCTTCTTTAATCTCGGCTAAAGAAAATTTATTGATTTTTAAATTTGAATCGTGGTCAGTATACTTTCTGGCTCTCATATTTTGGAGAAGAACGTTGTAGCCTTCGTGTTTTAAGGAAAAGATGAAACTATGAAATACAAATTGTTTAAACAAATCTTTAGATCCGCCATTCAGATCTCTGATGGAAGAAGAAACATTTAAACATATAGTCACATGAACCTAACGTTTGATCAGGAATATCTGCTATGATCCATATTGTTTTGCATACTTGTTCAAAGTGTAAATTCAGTCCTCTGCATGCAACTTTTTCATCTACATGGATGTATACAATTGATTTTAAAAATCAATACATTATCCTAAATTTAGAGAGGAACGCTTTTCAAAAACATATCAGTTCTTTCTCTTCTGTTAATAATATAATAATAATAATTAATTTGTATAGCGCCTATTTTCCAACTTTGAGCTGCTCAATGGCGCTGAACAGGGTAGATAATTTACATATCATATGCTTGATTAAACAGCCAGCATACATTTATGATTTTTTCATGTATGTGTTTTATACATTTCTGTTATGTTGGTAGTTGATAAGTTATATTTTTAATAATACACCTAGTGACTTAAATCTAAGACATCAATTATTCATCATTGACATTATGTGTATGCGAGACAGCCGACTGTCTCTTGTATTTGTATTAATTCAGTCACCATGACAAGCCAGCTCATAAAGTATCCCATAAAATCTCCCCGAGTCATCATCTTGACTGTCCATCTGTAATCATTTTGTTTCCGGAGCATAACTCGAAAACCGTTTGATATCTTTCAAAAAAATTGGATGATGTATCAAACAGACCCTAAAGTAGTGTTTTTTGCTATTTACTGATTTTGGGCATTTTATTTTAATCGATTTCCATGAAAACAATTTGGATTTTGTCTCAAAAAGGAGTGGATTTCGTTTCCCACGCATAACTAAAAAATTGTTCAATATCTATCAACAACCCTTAGCAGACATATCAAACAGATCCTGAAGTAGTGCCTTGTGCTTCTTGCAGAATTATGGCATTTTTTTCTTGCTTTCAATAAAAACAATTTGGACTTGGTTTAAAAAACCATGAGACACTTTTCATCCAAATCTGGTACATGTATTAACCAATTAACCAAGGGCTGAAGTGGTGCCTTTTGCTATTTAGGAATTCTAAGAAATGAATTTGTTTCCTGATTCCGTGGCAAAATGTTTGACTTTGACTCTGTTCATAGTGGTGTGTTTGTACAGACCATAGCTCTGAAACTAATAGGTATTCTTTCTTGAAACTGTGCGCACACAAAAAACAGGTTGTCCATTGCTGCCTTTTGCTGTTAGTGATCTTTAGGATTTGTATTTTTGTCCCCCGCCGCAATGCGGAACGGGGGACTATGTATTCAGCGGCCTCCGTACGTACGTCCCGATTCTTGTTAATGCGATATCTCATGAACTGTTGTACCCAATGTCTTAAAATTTGGTGACAGCCTACATTGGGGGATTACGCAGACTCCAGTCGATTGGGGTGACCTTGACCTTATTTTCAAGGTCGCCATGACACTTTGACCACTTTTCAAACTCTTGTTAACGCGATATCTCATGGACTGTTGTACCCAATGTCTTCAAATTTGGTGATAGCTTACATTGGGGGATTACACAGACACTGCTGTATTTGGGTCACCTTGACCTTACCTTCAAGGTCACCACGACACTTTGACCGCTTTTCAAACTTATTTAAACGTGATATCTCATAAAACATTGCACCCAATGTTTTCAATTAATGTTGACAGCCTACATTGGGTGATTATGCAGACACCAGTCATTTCAGGCATCATTTATGTGACCAAAAAAATATAAAGTAGTAAATATGGATATTCCATTCTTTAGCGGCGGCGGACATTGCCATATCAGTGGCAAACACTTGTTTTCCAATGACTTTGATAATGGCATGTACTTGACGTAGAAGTTCAAAGTTACGAATCCCAATTCCATGTTATTGTTTTGATAGCTCAATAACTACTCTTGTATACCAACAGACAGATTACACAGAACTTCTCTCATCAAGTTGGACTTTCAGTAACTGTCAGATGATTTGTTCTTTCAAATTTGTAGGGGCCGGGGGGATTTGTCATCTTCTGATGACCTTTGTTTTGAATGTATATGTGGTTAGGATTTGGGGATGAATTTCAAAATTGTCTTTACATTTAGAAGGACATTAAGGCGAACCATAATAATCTTTAGTAGTTACATGTTTGTGGTATGATGCTCATGACTTCAACTGATATTGATACTGATGTTACGATTGCAATATTTGAAATGTGTCTTAACTTCTTTGAGTGGCATTTTAAAAGTTGGGAAGTACAATATGGACAAACTTTATGGATAACAACTTCCTTATTATTAAAGATGGTTTTCTTAATAAAGAAGTTGTTATCCATAAAGTTTGTTTACAGTATGTGTCGTTATAGATTGATATTTCATTGGTTACACTCTACTACAGCAATAGATTATTAACAATCACACAACATTGAGATAGTCTGTAAAATTTAAGACACCACCCAAGTATCTTGTATGTTCATAGGTATTGGTGCATATATTGACTGATGTTGACTGTGTTTTGGTTGAAACACTTCTTGCATCTGTGTGATACACACATTGACTGATGCTGTGAATGTGTGTTGAGGAGGGTTACATTGTAAACTTTGGATGTTTGATAAGCTCTTTGCAGTAGTTGTAACAGAATGTTTCCCCTTTCAGTGGGTAGGCTCCATTGACCTTCACCCCAATGAAGATGCAGATGCCAATGTGATTGTGAAGGTAGCCGAGTCTTGGATAGCACAGGAAGATGACGTTGTGAAGAGCATTGATGGTGTCCTGGGGGAAAATAAGGTGGATGCCATCTTATGTGTTGCTGGGGGCTGGGCTGGAGGCAATGCTGCTTCTAAGGGTATGTTCATGTTTCCTTGTTAGAGTGAGTGAGTTTAGTTTTACGCCATGCTCAGCAATATTCCAGCTATATGGGGGCGGACTGTAAATAATCGAGTCTGGACCAGACAATCCAGTGATCAACAGCATGAGCATCGATCTGCGCAATTGGGAACCGATGACATGTGTCAACCAAGTCAGCGAGCCTGACCACTCAATCCGGTTAGTCGCCTCTTATGACATGCATGGGTTACTAAGGTTCACTCTAACCCGGACCTTCACGGGTCGACCTTATTAGAGGGGGCGGTGGGTAGCCTGTGTTCATCATTAAGTCAGTGTTCAGAAGTACCCCTTTAACTCTCTACTGAATCTTCAGGGTCAGAACTGGTGCCAATCAGTGTATGCTTCAGTCAGGGAGTTGAGATTTACACTGCTTTTAGGAATGTCATGGCAGGGGACACCAGAAATGGGCTCCACACATTGTGCCCATGTGGGTAATGGAACCAGATCTTCGGCATGATGAGCGAACAATTTAACCAGCTACCCTGCCTTCCTGCGTATGCTTCAGTCTTGTTGTAAGAGATGTCACTGGGTTTGATTGCTTGGTTGCCCCATACTGATAATTGATATTCTACCAGCTGCTCATGATGTCAGTCCCTGGTTTGTTTGGTCCGAAGTTGACACTTACTAGATGCTGTAACAGCTGCAATATTGTTGAGTGTGATCAACAAAGGATATAGCATACATTTTAGGCTTGTAATTCAGTAGATGTAATTGTTTAAGTTAAATGCTAGTTTTAAATCTCTATCTGTGATAATGTAGTTGTTACACTGTCCATTCTGGAGAGATATTATAATATAAGTGTATTTTGTATCAATACATTGTGTATGACTTGTTTTAGTCACGATATGGCGGAAATATTGCTGATGTTACTATAAATTCCTAGTGGTTAAAGTTTCATAACAGTAGGGTTTCCCCACATGTTCCCATTTTCTGGTGTCCCCACACATTTGCTGGAATACTAAAGTGCCTCAGGGTCAGCAGGAGGGAGAGCAGGATGAGAGCGCTGACTACCCACGGGCCACAGGCTGGGGGTGGTATCTCTAGAAACCTCAGGTCTCACTCTAGACGTGGTCGGTACCAATAGGGGTGTGGCCAGGGTCTAACTTCTGACACTGATCCACCCAGTGATTGTACGGCGCATCACTCACCCTCTGCTCAGTCAACCACGTCACCTGATGAGTTTTATCATCAATCATTTCTATTTTGGAATGTGTCTGGCTTATCATCTAAATTAACCGATACTGAGTTCCTCATGTATATCAAAACATTTGAGATTATCGGACTTACCGAAACGTGGATTAATGTGATGTTGATAATATATTTGATGACTATGTCACGTTCATGAAACCTGCAGATAAGTTATCTCACTGCGGGAGATTATCAGGTGGCATAGTTGTGCTAGTTAGAAAATGTCTTAGACAATATATTAAATGGTGTATAATTACTGAAAATGCAGTTAACATTTTATTTGATAAGTCATTATGTAACGATAAAGATCTGTTATATTCCTGTGTATATGTACACCCTGAGGGGTCAACTTGATATGAAAAGACAAACGTACATTGTAAAAACGGGATTCAGTTGTTACAGGAAAATCTAGTAGATATATTGTCAGATCATCCAGATGCATCTGTTTTGTGTAGCAGAGATTTCAATGCGAGAACAGGAAATGACCCGGACTTTATTGAGGATGATATACTTGAATATATAGAAACAGACACGTCAAATTGGAAATTCCTAGTAGATCAATTTAACCTCACAAGATTCTGTCGACAAGACTGTTAATTCATTTGGACGATCTTTGGTAGAATTATGTGCTGTTTTGAATATCCATATCATGAATGGGACATGCGGATGACAAAAATATTGGAGATTTTACATTTCTCGGGTCAGTGGGGGCCAGAGAAATTGATTATATCATTGCATCATCATGTCTGTTCTCATCTTGTACTGACTTCAATATACAGTCTCGCACAGAGTTGACATACCTCCCAGTCACGATGAAATTGATTACAGTCCGTTATAGTCAGAAACGGACCGTTGAATTGCAAATTTTATCATTGTACAAAATTGCCACATAAATATAAATAGTACACATGTTTATCATTTACTAATACCCAACAGCTTTCTTATATTTGAAAATTTTCCGTGACTCCACCAAAATAGTTGTTTAAGAAACTATCATCATTGAAAACGTAAAAGTTGTTATCTGTCGCTGCGGTGTGAAACCGCAGAAACGGAACAGCCAGTCATGGCGGGGACATCTCAAAATCTATTCGGAGACCTGTCGGTTCCTCGTCCGTCGAGTGTCATAGTCAATGACTTAAAGGGATGACAAGTGGTGCCACAGTTGCCTGTTGTAAGCCATCCCCGAGACCAGTAACCTTGTTCAATGGCGTTAGCTACCTTGTTGACACAGTTTTGTCTAGTTTCAGTCGTGATTTTGTTAAGGGATTCCTTAACCAAAACCTCTACGTCATGTAATCTAAAAGTTGTGTTTGATCTGGCAACATCTCCTTTGACAATACCCCATATCATTTCAATGGGGTTAAGGTCACAGTGATAGGGTGGAAGTCGCAGAAAATCGTGACCCTTACTTTTTATGTAACTGTCAACTGTGTAGAAAGGTTCACCTTTGTGGGTTTTTATGATCTCATATAGCTGAGGCTTCGTTGCCTTTGAAGGCTGTGCGATCTGAAATTTGTCGAGCCATGATATCATATCACCTTTTCGACTGTTCGATGTCGGGCTTTACTGTCGGGTCCTGCACGCTGTGGTATGGGGCATTGTCCATTACGATAAAAGACTTCTCTGGTAGAGCTGGTACCAACTTGTTTTTAACCCAATCGAGGAAAACCGCACCATTCATCTCGGAATGGTAGTCTCTGTTATCTCTGGACTTTGCCCTAAATACCAAGTCGCAGCCTGGGAGAAAGCCTTTGCTGGAGCAACCAGCATGGAGAATGATTAGTCTCTCCTTCCCTAGAGGCAGCTTTCGTGACCCCTTATCACCCCCATCAGTTACCCACTTTCTGCTGGCAGTGTGCGAGGCATTGACCCAGGTCTCGTCCAAGTACACTGGCTCGAACCCTTTCCTTGCGCTTCTTCTATATGACCCTGAGAAAATTATTTCTCAAGCAAACGATATCAGGGCCGTTCACAGAGAACTGACCTATTCGCCCCCGAAATTTTCTTATAACGATACCGGAAAGAGTGTAAGAGTCGCCAGAGTGTGTACTTTGATACTCTGAGGTTGTGTTCTTGCTTCAAATGCTTTTTTAAAATTTTCAGCGACATGTATTTGCTTTCAGAATAGAGCTTGTTGATAGACTGCCTTACAAGGTTCTTTTGAAAGTTGTCCAAATGTTTTAATTTGTGTGATTTTGACACGACCCCTACCTGCTTCGCATCATCCGCACAATGTTTGTGTTCCAGAACATTTGTCAGTACCCTTGCTGATACTCCTAAAGCTTTTGCTGCCCGCTTACGGATTTTATTAATGGCATAAAATGGTTTGCCCCTTTTGGCTTCAGCACGGAAAAAATCGTACACTTTAATCATCAACTGTTTCATGTCAGCATTCAACTTCATTTTTCATCAGGCATGTGTATCCTGTGCACGACGAGATAGTGCCTGTTCCATTTCTGCGGTTTCACCCCGCCGCGACAGATAACAACTTTTGCGTTTTCAATGATGATAGTTTCTTAAACAACTTTTTTGGTGGCGTCTGGAAAATGTTCAAATATAAGAAAGCTGTTGGGTATTAGTAAATGATAAACATGTGTACTATTTATATTTATGTGGCAATTTTGTACAATGATAAAATTTGCAATTCATCGGTCCGTTTCTGACTCAAATTGACTGTACAACACACAAGTTGGAATATGATGTAATAAGAGATGGTTTGAATCATAGTTATAAGTTTGTTTGGAATGAAGAAAAATCGGATGAGTTTAGACAAAATATGTTCTCAGATAGTGTGCAGGACTTACTCGATAAATGTTTAGATACAGCCTTTAGTGATATCAATCAGAGTATAGAATATATTGCAGAGGCTTTGTGCTCAGCTGCAAATGTGTATGAAACGAAAATTGGCACATAGATATTTTAGTAAGAACAGCCCATGGTTTGATAGTGAATGTAGGCGTTTGAAAGCTGAGCGTTGCCGGAAATTAAATCAGTTCAGAATTTATAAAGACAAACAGCACTTAGATGAGTACCATTTAGTTAGAAGCCTATATAACGCTAAGTGTAAGCAGAAAAGAACAGAATACTATAAACAAAAACAGATAAAACTAGAAAACTATATCAATTCTAAAGAGTTTTGGTCAATCCTTCTAGGCTGGAATGGTAAACAGTCTACAAAACATGATATCAGTACCCGTGAGTGGTTTAAACATATCAAACAATTGTTTACATCAACTAGCAATGATGTAATGGAGGATGTAAGTGCTGGCCACGAGTGTACTAATGTACGTACAAGCACACCAACTGACTTTGACCTATTGACTAACGATATTCTAGATCCACCTATTACCAGACAAGAAATTATAGATAGTATAAGACACTTAAGGGTAATAAAGCAGCGGGTGTTGATAATATTTTACCTGAATTTATTAAATATTCTGAAGATATCTTATTACCTTACTTTGAGTTGATTTTTAATGTTATTTTAGAGAGCTGTAATTTTCCATCGTCTTGGACTATTGGAATTATTATTCCAATTCATAAAAGCGGAACATTAATAATGTTGAGAATTATAGAGGTATGAATCTGTTCAGTATATTGGGAAAGGTTTTGTCTATATCATCAACAAGAGCTTGACTTATTGGGCAAATACTTTGATAAAATAGATGAATCTCAAGCTGGCTTTAGGGCAGGATGAGGCACTGTTGATAACATCTTTATACTAAATTCAATTGTTCAAAAGTGTCTAAATACAAAGGGAAAGAAAATGTATGCTTTGTTTGTCGATTTTAAGAAAGCGTTTGATTCAATACAGAGAGAAAAACTTTGGGGGATAATGCAAAAACATGGTATTAGCTCTAAGATGAATAGACTGCTACAGAAGATATATGATGTGAAAGTTTGCATCAGAAATAATTATGAAATATCAGATACCTTCAATTGCAATGCTGGGCTGAGACATGGCTGTATTTTGAGTCCATTCCTGTTCTCAATGTTCATTAATGAATTTGCTTCGATAATACAACAGAATGGTACTCATAGATCCAGTTACATCCCTGTTTGACACAGTTGTTTTTATTGTTGTTTGCTGATGATATGATTTTGTTTGCGACTACTGTTGTTGGATTACAAAGGCATATACATGAGTTGGAACATTATTGCAATGAGGCAGGATTAACTGTTAATTTTGAGAAAACTAGAATAGTTGTATTCAAAAATGGGGGCAAACTATCTAAAACGGAAAAATGGTATTATAAAGGAGAGCCGCTCCAAGTCACACAATCATATATATATCTTGGAGTCTACTTCACTAATCGTCTTGGCTTTTCAGCACATACTAAATATTGTTCAACACAAGCCAAAAAGGTACTTATTGGGGTTCTCAAAAGCATTCACAAACTCAGATATTGATTATCATTCCTTTTCAAAATATTTGATAAAAAAATCCTTCCTATTCTATTGTATGGTTCAGAGGTATGGGGTTTCAATCATTTTGAGGTAATTGAGAAAATACGCTTTATATACTTGCAATACATTTTAGGAGTGAAAGCAAGTACACCTAATGCCATGGTATATGGAGATTGTGGAAGATTTCCCATACCACATTTTTGCTAAAGCTAGAATAATAAAATATTGATATGTCTGTTATATATGCCATCTGATCGATACCTCTAGACAGTGTTATGATATGATGTTAATGTACGATAACAACGGAAGACTAACTGCGTGACTAACATTCTCGAGAATTGTTAAATACAATAGGTTTTGGGATGGTATGGCAAAAAGGCAAATGTTGACTTTCATACACATTTTGTGAATAATGTTACTCAAAGGCTCAAAGATATATATACACAAGAATGGGTTGTAGCACTGTCATTGTCAAGTAAATGTTTCTATTATAGAATGTTTAAACCCATATATACAGAGAGAATTATCTGTTTTCACTAAATATCATGAAATTCTCAAAGGCATTTGCTCAGTTTAGGTGTTCCTTGGCAATTGAAACAGGGAGATATCATAAAATAGAGAGAGAAAATAGAATTTATACATTTTGTGATCTTAATTGTGTAGAAGATGAATATCACTTCCTCTTAATTTGCCCATTATATTGTGATTTGAGAAAAAAAATATGTCCCAACATATTATTCTGTATATCCCGATAGGGAGAAATTTTCTTTGTTAATGAGTACTGATGACAATGTTCTTATCTGTAAGTTGTCAACCTTTATCTATCAGGCATTGTCTCTAAGAAATAACATAATAATTCATAGAATGTATGTACTTATATTGTTATTTGATATGATATGGTATGATGTGGTGTGGTGTGGTGTGATATATGATATGATATGATATGATATGGTGTGATATCGTGTGTTATGATATGATGTGATACGACATAGTATGTGTAATGCGATGTTATATGATGTGATACATTTTGATGTGATATGACATATTGTGATGTGACTATATTATTATTTTCTATGATATTGCATAGATAAAAGCAGTCAGTCTTGTATACTATGGGCTAGTCTGTCGTACAGACCCTGAAGCAAATATATCCAAGAAAGCCTACGCAAGTCTAGAAAATGTGGCAAGTCTAGATTTACTCAGCTTCAGGGCTCCTTTTCATTATATTATATTGTTTTACTATGAACTTTTTTCAGTAATATATGTTCATTTCAGAGACTAGTTGTTAATCTAACTATGGGCCTGTGGCCTTCAGTATAAATAAAGATTGATTACTAATGTCCCGATACTTGCCCTTGTAAACTTACAGGATGGTCTTGTCTGACTATTTATCATGTTTGTGTTATCATTCTGGCATTCTGGTAGTCAGAAACACAAGTTGTTTGTCCTGCTTGAACCATGTTGATAACAGCTTGTGTTGCCATGGTTACAGATCTGGTGAAGAATGCAGACATGATGTGGAAGCAGAGTGTATGGATCGCCGGTGCTCTCCTCCAGTATTGCAGCCAAGTACCTGGGAAGGAGGGGATGAAATTTTACACTACCTACACCTACACCTACACCCCTCACCCTCACCCACACCTACATCCTCACTTTGCACACCCCACACCACACTCTACTCACACCTCCACACCTACACTCCACACCTACACCCACACCTTCACACTCCACACTCCACACCCCTCACCCACACCCTCACTCACACCTCAACTACACCCCCACACCTCCTCACCCACACTCCACACCTCACCCACAACCACACCTCACCCACACTCCACACCCACACCCCACACCACACCACCACACCACACCCGCACCACACCACACCACACCACCACACTACCACACCACACCACACCACACCACACCCACACCCTCACCACACTCACCCACACCTCACCCTCACCCACACCCTCACCCTCACCCACACCCCACATCCTCACCCTCACCCACACCCACACTCACATCCTCACTTTTGCCCACACCCACACACCACACCCTCACTCACACCCTCACCCACACCCACATATCACACTCCATTAATTCCCACACCTCACCCACACCCACACTCCACACCCACACCCACACTTCTCACCCTCACCCACACCCACATCCTCACTTCTGCCTCGAACTCCACACCTGTCTCTTTACATTCAATTCCCTAATTCACCCTCACCCACACCCCACACCCACACCCTCACCCTCCTCACCTTCACCCCTCACCCACATCACCTCTCACCCACACCATCACCATCACACACCCTCATACCCCTCACCCACACCCACACATCCTCACCCTCACCCTCACCCTCACCCACACCCACACCCACCACACACCCTAATCCACACCGACACCTACACCCTAACGCTCACCCTCACCCTCACCCACACTCTCACCCTCATCCTTATCTTCACTTTTATCCACATCCACACCCACTCCTGAATTTCCCAGGTATGGTCCAGCTTAGACTTGTTTCCCCTTTATTTCCCAGGCCATCCCTCACCTCACACTCACCTCACTTTCACCCTCACCCACACCCTAATCCACACCGACACCCACACCTCTAACGCCACCCTCACTCCCTCACCCACACACTCTCACCCCTCATCCTTATCTTCACTTTTATCCACATCCACACCCACTCCTGAATTTCCCAGATCGGTTAGACTTTGTTTCCCTTTATTTCCCAGGTATGATCGGTATGGTCTGGCCAAGGCTGCCGCCCACCAGCTGGTGAAGAGTCTTGCTGCTAATGAGAGTGGGATGCCTGCCAACAGCCTATCAGCTGCCATACTGCCGTAGGTTCTGGACATTCAAAGCATTTGCTGGAACCATTTCCAGGCACTTTGAAACTTGGTCACTTAAATTGCTGAAACTTAAGTCCATTATTTTCACACTGGGTCACTTGACATTCACATCAGTTTAAGTTTGTATTCTGACACTGAAACATGAAATGCTCCCTGTCGTTGTTTCAGTGTGACGCTTGACACGCCCATGAACCGGAAGTTCATGCCCAACGCAGATTTCAGCACCTGGACCCCACTCGAGTTTGTTGCTGAGTAAGTGCTTCTTTGAAAAGTCTGTCTCCAATAAACAATACTTTATCCAAATGATGGCAGGGATTTTACAATTGTATGGATACAGAATATAGTAGAGCACAAGCTACTGTGCCCAACTGATGATGTTCATGGTTAATTCCCTGGGACTGGGATCCCCACAGACCCAGTACTTCTCCTTGAGTCGTAAAGATCACATATACTCTTGGGGGTACAAATACATAAATAACTAATTGACATCGTTATAAATGAAACCCTATCACAGGGTTCGAAATCTACGATAGTCCACTAGCCCAAGGCTAGTAAATCTCCCGGAGGACTACCAAAACATCTAACAGTACTAGTCCGCCGGGCTACCAGGCAGTAGTCGCATCAAAATGATATAGAACTTTAGGAACCTAACTAACATATGATTCATTAATTAAATCTATCACTTTTCACAATGTCTGAAAACACTTATTACATTTCAAATGACCATATGTTATCGTCAAACTTAAAATTAAAAGCTATTTTTCGCAATGTTATTTGAAAAAACGATTTTCGGACACATGCTTCGGCAACGGGTCCACATCAAAGTTGTTAAAGAGCAAAGTAACGATGTTTCGAGATGATAATTAAACAAATTGAATAAATTGAAGAATATATTCAATAACGGTACTCATAAAAGTTGTCAAACCTACATTATAACTTACTATTCCGATCTTTATTGTGCGATCGTGTAATGTAATTCAAGTGACATCTCGGCTTTTGTCGCCTCGAACTTCGTGATCGGACACGATGTTTAATGCTAAAATATATGCATGAAGCATTTTTGTCACAGGTCATAACCTAGCATGATACGTCCACTAAGTTCCATAATATACGTATAGTGGTGATCTTTTGCGTAACACGCTCAGAATAGCATGATTTTACCCAAAACTTTCATATGAATCTAAAAGTTTTAGCCATTTACGGCGGTATCCATTGCTGTAATATGATTGGCTGCCTTAAGTCACGTGTGATTTTGACCAATCACGATACTAAGTAGCAGACTGTGACAGAAAAGCGACATTAGAAACCAATCTTTAACCAATCAAATCGCTTCTACAACTGTGAAAATACTCTTGGCAAGGGTATAGTGATATAGTTGATGTTCAGAGCTTCGAACGATACCGCCATCAAACGAATCACCTCACTTGTTTTTATACCTAAGCTTCAAAACGGAGGTATTTCCACTGTTGTATCAATTAACGAAAGGAAAGCCAATGTTATCGGGAAATAGACTCGACCATACATATTATTTGAGAAATATCTTTATAATAGTTTTCCGATTGCGTAAACATGAAAAATAGAAAAGAAAAACGTAAGGGGATAATTATGACATGTTACAAATGGAAAAATTCGCTGCATTTTTTGCTTCCTTCGTGGTTTATCTGGACATTATAAATGTATAAGCTTGCATTTTCATTAAATATTAACTTATTTACGTTGTAGTTGTGTTATTAGAATAATATGATCATATCCATCTGTCATGACTGAATTAAACTATGCCAAAACATATTGTGTGTTTAACATAGAGATTTTTTCTGGGTTACATCTTCTTTTTATTCTCGAGTACAACGTTTCAGGGCTTGTTCTGGCCCCATCATCAGGTAAACTGAACAGTAACTGTTAACTCTGGCCGTGACGTCACAATGCTTATGACGTCACAATGATATTACGACGCAATACATGTGGTGGTCAGTAGATACAGATGACATGGCTCATACAAAATTATTTATTGAATTAGAAATGTACAGAGACGTATTTATAAATATATAGAATGTAAAGTAATAGCAGTGTATACATAGAAATTATGCTTTATACATGGGAACAGTGACGAGGGTAGGGTAGTGTCTTATTGTTTTATGTACCATGCATTTGGGAGGTAGACACCCTGGTCCCTGTTTATTGCTGGTTTTGTGCGTTTGATGAAGATAGCTTCAATCAACTTGCGTTTACGCCAGGCACTGATGTTTTTTGAGAGGACTTCAGTTTCCCAGTCAATTTCATGATCGGGATTATTCATAATGTGTTCAGAAACTGCAGATTTCCCAAATGCATGGTACATAAAACAATAAGACAATACCCTACCCTCGTCATTGTTCCCATGTATAAAGCATAATTTCTATGTATACACTGCTATTACTTTACATTCTATATATTTATAAATACGTCTCTGTACATTTCTAATTCAATCAACAATTTTGTATGAGCCATGTCATCTGTATCTATTGACCACCACATGTATTGCGTCGTCATATCATTGTGACGTCACGGCCAGAGTTAACAGTTACTGTTCAGTTTACCTGATGATGGGGCCAGAACAAGCCCTGAAACGTTGTCCTCGAGAATAAAAAGAAGATGTAACCCAGAAAAAATCTCTATGTTCATCAAATATCATCTTCTAAAATGCCAATCAAGCATCTAATATTGTGTTTTTGTTTGTTATGATACCACACCTCTGCCAATACTGCTTGACAAGTCAAATTAATTAGTTGGTTTATTAAAGATTGAAATTTGAGGACTACCAAAATTGTGTGAGGACTAGTAGTTTGGTGAGAGTCACTAGTCCTCAAGGCTAGTAGACTTTTCAAAGAGATTTCTAACCCTGCTGTCATTAAAACTACTCTTTTCGATCTTTAAATAACTTAAATCAACCTTTTTTACAACAGTGCTCAATTCTCACGTGCGAACGAAATTTCAACCAATCAGAGGGGCGCGTCTCTGTGACGTCATTTGAGGAATAGATATGAGGGCCGATGTAGAAATCATGTACATTTCAGGGGGTAAATTATCTTGTTTACAGGTTTGTATGAACCTGAAATCGTGACAATTGTTGTGAAAAATGAAAGCTATATGTTCTCCCAATCTACTGTTAATTAATTTTGTCACCTGCTTTGCCTAGCTTCCGAGTTATAACTTGTTTTCATAGACGATTCTGTCAAAATCGCTTGGTGTCGCTAAGCCTTATTTGGTCGAACCAGACGCTATTGATAGTGAAAACGATGATCAGCCTCGCTCATCACGGTTACGGTTAATTTCTTCAACCTAAACAGTGCGACATTAGGAAGGCTGGATGCCCATCAGATGCCGTTATTTGAAAATATCCCCGGTAGTTCTTGTCTGAGTGTAATAAAGTATCAAAGCAGTGTGGGCTTTTTCAGGTTTTCTAATGCCTGGATGGTATAATGACTGATCCAAATTGATCCCATTTCTGTGGATTTTTTACCTCGATATTTAATCATATCATGTAAAAATATGACGTCTATTACGTATGATCTTCAACATTGATATTTGATTTATTTGAATCCGTAAACTAAACAACCCCAGAAGAATCTGGAAATTTACTTAGGTAAATAGGTACATACAGTTTTAGCACACAGCAAATGCTTATATGTATTTCTTATGCAACAATGAAGTTCTGTTCGTATTCTCAAAACAGTGTTGGCCCATAAGTTTTCACATGCAATTAAAATTGCATGCAATACAGCAATTAATACTCCCTTGGTAACCCGTGTTAGGTGGTATAAACCTACACATGTTATTTGTCATCATTCACTTGATGGTCAGTTAATGAATTTATAACAGGTATAATTAGTGGTAACACCACTTAGATTACCCGACAACGGTTCCTATTTGGCATTTCTTGTGTCTGGAGTAAATACTCAACATTATAAACCGATAACACGCTGATTGATTAATTACTTTTATCTTGCACAGCGGATTTGTCAAAAGGTAGTGTTTATGTATGTAGATTTACTAATCTATACTGAATACACTCTGTCTTAAAGTGTCTGTGTAAAAACAATGTCCTTCTTTCAAAGGATTAACCACCAATACATTGATTGATAGCTCATTATTGGCTAACTAAATTAGTTTTTTTAAAGAATGGTGGACATTATGCAATTAGTTGCCAGGTGGGCTATCTTGGGTGACCAATGAGACTATACACCAATGTGAAAAAACCTGGAACGGTATATCACTTTTTCGCATATTAGACTGTTAAAAGACACATCACTTGGAACAGCTGCAGATGAATGGCATATCACTCGTTTTTGTGGATATTGATGGATACATTCCTCGAACAAGGTAATAGCCTGACATTGTTCCTATAACTTTAGTCTGTTTTAAGTTAATATTTGCATTTTGTTTTTATTCATTTGTCGTAGCTTTCAACAGAATCATTGTTTTTCGCAGTGAAGTGTAATGAGAGACTAGGGCATGTGTGCGAATTATGATTCACATTGGCAAACTATAAACTGTCTAGATATCACAGTCCTGTTATAAATTCACCATAAGTATCAGCAGATTGCCTGCTTTTTATTCAGTTTCAAAATGCATACAAGTATGATAATAAACTAATTAGGATTATAATACCATATGTAAAGACGTACATTGACTAGTATCTACATACTGGTGAGTGGACGTTAACTACGTGAATGTAGCAAGAAATTTATCGCGCAGTATTTTCACCCTAGTACATTGACTAGTATCTACATACTGGTGAGTGGACGTTTTCCGCGTGAATGTAGCAAGAAATTTATTGCGCAGTATTGTCACTTCGACCCCCACCTCGCTTCCGTGGAAGAAATCGTTATGTTACAAGTTGTGTCATGCAAAATCCTTTTGGTCATGATTCAGATACATATTTAATTACAAGTAGAAAGTAGTTTTGATTTTCTAACTTGATGAAAACAAACCATAATCTCATTACTTCTTTAACAGACTTTAGCTAGTGACTTCACGATTTTTAAAAATGGCGGCGCCCTATCGCGAACATCCGCCAGTCTGAGAATAAATGCTCTTTAGGTTTGTTTTCACCGAGTTACAAAATCAAAACTACTTTATACTGGTAGTAAAGTATGTATTTGATTGATGGCCAATAGGATTTTGCATGACATAGCTTATAACATAACAATTTCTCTCGTGGAAGCGAGGTGGGTGTCAATATAACACTACTTACAATATTATTGTCACCTTGACCACAACCTCGCTTGCGAGGAAGAAATTGTTATGTTACAAGTTGTGTTATGGAAAATCTTTATGGTCATCAATCATATACATATTTTACTACAACTAGTAAGTAGTTTTGATTCTTTAACTTCCGTGAAGCGATCTGAACACAAGTAAGATATCATTCCAGGCTTCCACAACGCTCGCTTCGCACTCACAAACATAACCCATTTAGCATGAACTACGGGGTCGGGTGGAACTCAGTGCATGGTGACACCATCACCCGACCCCTAGGAGCAACTGACGGCAACGCAACGATTCGGCATGTCTTCGTTGACGTCAAGAAATCAGCAAAATGACGAGCTTGTTTTACATTTTACATACAACTAACTGAAAATCCTTCCTCATATGACGTCACTTCCTGTTCGCTGTAGTGTTCTGGCGACAGAGTTTCGTAACCGCTCTGGTTTTGTTGGCGAGCGAGAGTGAAGCAGGCGACATTTTGGCAACTTTAATCACTCGGTATTCATTAACCACAAGTTTTTTAAGAACGAAATTGGTGTTAAGACTAACCATACGTCTTTCATATGTAATGGTTAAAAGAGTACAAAATACAAAAGTTTATTCGTTCTTTAACCCCTGCAACAATGTCTGAGAGGTTTGGGTGTTTTGCTGTTCTCATTCTTCCATCTTTCTTGTATCTATTTTATAATGTTTCCAGGGTGATTTGGAAACCCTTTTAATGATTTGTTATAAAACAGACTAAACTTAGACATTTTGTACACATATTCTGTTAGTTATGTCTTACTTCGTGCAAGGTGTCTGCATGGGAAGTAGTTTTCTGAGTAATACTTATGAGTAAAATATTACACTGATATGCTATGTTTCCTTCTGGAGTTACTCAAACACTCATGATGGCCAAGAGTTATGTCCCTTGGATGCCTGATGTCATGTCTTTTTGATCTAACACTGTGTTTGTCATGATTCAGGAGATGAAGTGAAGTATTGTGAAGTTACACGTGATACTGATCTATATACATTACCCATGTATTGATGTATAAATTTCACTTGCTTTTCTAATTTATTTTATGATGTAAAGTTTAACAACAGCCTGGCCTGATAACCACTGGGGAGGGCATTGACTTTCTGCCTGTCATTGAACAAAATGGTTGGAAGCAAAAACTTGTGAAGCAGCCATGATGAGAATTTCATTGAATTGAACTAACCATGACACACATCACGAGATGTAGGCATTATCGTGACACCTCTGACTGGACATCAGCTGTAGCTGGTTTCAGAACTTGTTTCCGACAATATCAGACCCTGCTCTAACCTTGACACTGCTCCAACCTTGACCCTACTCTATCCTTGACCCTACTCTATCCTTGATTCTGCTCTAACCTTGACCCTACTCTATCCTTGACCCTGCTCTAACCTTGACCCTGCTCTAACCTTGACCCTGCTCTAACCTTGACCCTGCTGGTGGTTCTGACCATACTGCTGTTCTATTACAGACTGTTCTACAAGTGGACAGCTGGAACAGACCGTCCAGCCAATGGAAGCTTAGTGAAGCTGATCACAAAGGACAGCAAGACTGACCTGGTCATCGTTTGAAGACCCTGCTGGAGGCGCCATGTGAAGCCCATGGGGTTTCTGTGTCGGTACTGTGTGTCGTTCATGGGAATTCGATGTGTGTTCCCTGTGAGGATGATGTGAAGGTCATCAGGTTGTTGTGTAGACAAGAAGGGAAGTAGAACCCATCTGTGTTGTCCTCATGTTGTGAGTAAGGTGTGCAGGGATTACATGTAAATCAAATGTCACAAATTATTTGTTATATGGTCAGGGTTTTATTTTATACCAGTTTTTGATGGCTTAATCCTTGTACTTGTCATTGATTCTTGTATTTTGCCAAAGATATTTTGATAGTGATGTATGAAATTTTATGAGGCATTTCTTTTACAAACAAATCATGACATTCCATTAGGCAAGAGATGTGATCGTCTTTTGATGAAAATGTTGAGGACTGGTGATGTTGACACAAATCAACCACATTGATATTAGTCAGGCTAAGGGTTTCTGCATTGATTTTGTTATAGGCTTTCTGTTAACATTTGGTTATTTTATGCTTGATCTTCAAATGACAACGATGCATCGGTACTGTGTTGTGTGTTCCGACTTAACCACAGACAGACTATTGGCTCTCAGAGTGCAGATTTAATACACACATAACAGAAAGCAGTAACTTACATGTGCCGTGAGACTTGTCCATTCAATCAGACCTGTCTCTTCAGTCAGACTTGCCTATTCAGTCAGACTTGCCTATCCAGTCAGACTTGCCTATCCAGTCAGACTTGTCCATTCAGTCATACCTGTCTAAGGCTTATGAATATTATTTTGGCCTATTCAGCAGACAATGATGTCATATGTATGAAGATTAAAATCTGAATAGCATTTGTCAAACAGCATGTTCTTTATTTGCATGATAATTAATAATTGATGCAGTGCTATGAAGTAGAAGAGTTGAGTCATGGATTGCCTGGTGGTGGTGGTGGCGGCAGTCACTCGTCATGTTCAAAACACACTTGGGGGACAATGTGTAAAGCCAGTCTCTACTGTCAACAGATGGTGCTGGAGAAGTGCTAGCATGGCGTAACACTCAACTCACTCACTTATCCTTATTTATGTTTGAAAGATCTTCTAGTCATGGACAGTCCTGTGGACTTTGATTTATGATGTTGTCAAGCGCTACAAGTGTGCCGGCCAGTGTTGTGGCTGGGGGACGTGATTGTGTTCATTCTTCGGCAGCTTCACTCCACTTTTGTTTTCAGTCTTCCTTGTTTGTTGTTTGAAGGTGCTTTGTTTGTTTTGATTTTGAATTGATTTTTAACTGCATTTAATGAAATAATCATTTTGACTGCTTGGCAAGGGATATATTGGTGTGAGTATTGTACGATTTGCCATGACAAACTGCTAGATCCACAAAACCTTTTATGTTGATGTCACAATAGTAGGTATATTATGTACCTTTCCATATGTAGCTCTTTATTAATGGCTTGATTTTGCCAATGAATGTTGAAGTCTCTAATCAGAATAATTTCCTGTGTTAAGTAGTAATGCTGATTGATATTGTCACCTATTGTAATAGTACTCCAATAGAATTACATAGTATTATTCTGTCTGTTTACAAAGTTAGATCTGCTAAAAACTCTCAAAGGATATGTTACTGTTACATTCTTACACCACTTTTTTGTTGGACAATTTACACAGAAAATAAATATATATGGCAAATGAGATCCTGCATACATGAATGGCACAACTTATCATTGATGTGCTAGAACCAGACACTTGTAGCAGGGGAAATGACAAAGCTACAGTGTCCTATTTTTGAATGTTTAAATCACAAGGGTTTGGGGATAAGATGATCAGCTCGCATAACACAGTGGATATGACAGTAGCGTATCACTTTGTGGAGGGTCTTCCAGCAGACAGAGGGTGCAAGAAACCCTCAACACACTGTTGCCTGTACTACAAGTGTGCGGTCGTTATGATCCATAGCAATAAATTATCTGTATTTCAAGTCATTCCTTTATGTTGTAATTTCCAGTCTGACTGAGTTTGGTTTTAAGCCGCTTTTAGCAATATTCCAGGAACATCACGGCAGGGGACACCAGAAATGGGCTTTACACATTGTACCCATGTGGGGATTCGAACCTGGGTCTTCGACGTGATGAGCCAGTACTTTAACCACTGGGCTAACCCACTGCCCCTCATTTCCACAGTACTGAATATGACTGTAATATATGCTTAAATTGTGTGTTAAAATTTGTGTCCCCCATCATGATATTGCTGGAATGTTGGTAAAAGTGGTGTGAAACTAAACTCACTCTCAGATTTGTGCTTTGTCAATGCTTCCACTGTGGATTTTTCTTGATCACATACACACATTGTTCATTACGTTATAGGGTTTGGATCTCGGATCAGGCGGTGGCGTAGCCTAGTGGTTAATGTGTTCGCCAGTCAAGCCGAAGACCCGGGTTCGATTCCCCACATGGGTACCATGTGTGAAGCCCATTTCTGGTGTCCCCATACCAAGATGTTACAATATTGATAAAAGCATCGTAAATCTAACTTCACTCACTGAATCCCAGATTAACCTGTTCATACAAATTGTAAACATCTAAATCTTCCCCTCAAGAAGCTGGGATATAGTGAAGTACAGGGAAACCTGTCTAAACCGGCACCCAACGAGACCGAAATAAAATGCCGGTTTAGACAGTGACGATCATTTTCCAACATGGCTGCCATTTACACTCATCAATCTCTTTATCTCTATGCCTTTGATCTTTTGTAATTGTGCAATTTTGGTGCAGCCGTTAAGGATTAAGGGGCCATGATTGGACTGCTCATACCTAAGCCGGCTTAGAGAGTTCGATTCACCGCGCAATCACTACTTCCTGATTATCTAGCATGCCAAGAGGATTAAGTAGTGTATTGGATTGGATTATGGGTCCTTGATACCCATGCCGGTTTAGACAGTGTTACTTACAGTTAAAATTGCTTGTTGGGACCGGAGAGTCATGCTGGAATACGGAATTGACAGGTGCCGGATTAGGCAATGTCTTAATGATCATAATACCGTTATGAAATACACAATGCCATTTTAGAAAGTGGTCAAATGTAACACAAAGTCAGACTCCTAGACTGCGGTGGCAGATTCCTGGTGGAAGCCGCGGTGGCTGAGCTCTCTAGGCGTCTGACTTTGTGTGCTAGCGATTTGGTGCCTGACTGAGGGTGTGGGTTCGAATCCCAGATGGGACTCAACTAAAACAAGTACTAGAATCTGTACTTTACTGAGAAAGTGTAAATCCCAAATATAACATGTTACATAATATCATTGTAAAATGGCGGGACCAAACTTTTATGCCGAATTAGACGGGTGCCGGTGTTGGCAGGTTTCACTGTATGCATAATGCCATTCATATTAACAAAGTCCTGGATCCTGCAAGAGGTTGTATTGGAGGTGATGTGTCAATGCAGAAGGAGGACGCAGAGTCGGAGGCCAGGTTTGTACACTTTATTTACACACTATACAAGAGACACTGAGGACTTGTAGACATCAAGGATATAAGACTTCCAAACACAGCTGTCTGGAGAGAGAACACAGTACGTCTGGCTCACTGTCGGCAAATAATAATAAATAAAACAATTTTGTTTATAATTGCAGACTTCATTTAAACAATACCCGGTAAATCCAGTTAAATATACAAATTAATGGTCCATAAAATCGTGATAAAATGCCAATTAAAGTCGATACCTATAAACAATGTCATACATTGCAGGCTAAGTCAGTCAAGTACATGATCCCCCCTTCTTCAAGGGAAAATAACTCACTTCCAAACACAGATGATGTTTCTTGTTAGACATGCTCGTATGAAGAATAATTTCAAAATCAATGTGAAAAAAATTAATTTTTGGAGAAAGATGATCATAGATCTAGCCATGCATGATGGGAAGTGTTCATCTTTCGCTGTGATATGAAATAATGGTTAATGATGACAGTTTTGACGAGAAAGATGATGTTCGTCTGATTGTCACAATTGTGGGAAAAGTGATGTCATGATGCCATGGGGGTCTCATCTCAGACCCGGTCTCCAAACAGGGTCTGTCACAAGTCTACGTATGAAGGTAAGGCCACAACAGATCAATAATCGAAACAGGAGACAGAAAATGGACAAAGCAAGTTTTGGCATAAGCATTGAGGTGGACTGTTCGTGTTAGCTACAAGGCAGATGCAACATGACTGACAAACAACCATTCCATCACAGATCCAAGATGAAATTGCAAAGTTAATTCAAATATTGACACAAGTATTCTGTGAAAACCTCTCCATAATGTAGCAGCAGAATAACAAACAGCTGAGTACCAACAACTCCAGGACCCCGTACCACAAAGCGATTGTAGCGCTACGACTGTCGTAAGTCTATGTTAAAGTATGGGAGTTACGATCATCTTAGCCTAATCATCTTAGCTTTACTCGACTGTCGTGCTACGACTGTCGTAAGTCTATGTTAAAGTATGGGAGTTACGATCATCTTAGCGCTACGACAGTCGTAAGTCTATGTTAAAGTATGGGAGTTACGATCATCTTAGCGCTACGACTGTCGTAAGTCTATGTTAAAGTATAGGAGTTACAATCATCTTGGGGTTATGATCGCTTTGAGGAACGGGGCCCTGCCCTAAACCATAGTTACAATTATCTCCTGTATCCTATGATGAAATTTATCTTGATTACTATTTAGAAGAGAGACAGCTAAGGTATATGCCATGGGCCCTCCTTGCTCACAATTTCATGGAACAAACTTTCATAACTTTTGGCATTGTATGTAGTACAGCAGTTGAGCAGGGTCTGTTGGTATGTACAGGACTAGAGGAATTATTGTGATGAGCTACATGGCCTCCTTTCACAAGAAGAATGGGAGTTAAGGTTAACCTTAGTAAAGGTTGCTTGGTGAAGGGAGCCCCAGATCCTTCTGAAACATTCTATATTTGTGGATGTCAGTATCAATCAAATCTTTTAATAATGTGACCTAATCATTTGGCATTAATTTCTACAATGAATAAACTATTAAAAAAGTCGTAATGGTATGATGTAGTTGCTAAGGTAACCAGACAACTGAATGTTGCCAAGGTTGTCCATGGTTTAGCAGCCGACTCTTACAAATATAGCTTAACATACAGTTGGTAATGCTGTCGGTATTCTTCGACCGGCTCGCCATCATTCTCCTGGTATTCTCCAGGTTTGTTCTCCAAGCAAGAAAGACAGTTTAGTTTCTGATCATAAAAATCACAACTCATTTTAAGCGGTGCATAATTTCACAAGATCCTCAGACCCTAGTAGACCTAGCACCAGTCGAGGCTTTGGCAACGTTTTCTTTACTTGATGAAAACTAGGAACTAAAATGTAAGTTTGATTTGGCAATGAGAATGGTAAGTTAAAGCATTTCATCCCAGAGGAGATGAGGACTATCTGACACTGTCTTCATAAGGAGTCCTTACAGTGACAATTCTGTGTGAATGTTAAGATATGCACACTCAAAAGTATTTGGCATTTAGAGTACGTCCAACAACTCTCTACCATTTTTTCAAAAATGCATTACTATATTATCATGTATATATTTGATACATAGATGACCTCAGCATCTATGTAAATATCCTGTAGACATTGTACTGATTTTATCTTTTTATCAAACCAGATTAGTCTGTTCGAAAAGGTAAAAAGACAGTCATTAAGTTCCGTTTTTTAACACAACAATCCTACAAAAGGCAAAAAAAACACATAATAATTTGTTTGAATTTCTATCAAGTAAAATATGAAAGACATTTCTTTTCCAATATTTTCAGTTGATTTCTTGAGAGGTTTTTGCTCAGATATGGTGACATTAAGTTGCTAACGAGCTTGTGTAAATTACACGTCCACTCTGTAATGAGAGATAATTCATTCGTTGGCCTCATGCAAACTGAAAATACATAGCTGCACATTTTTGATCACATGGTTTTGACAAAGTTCTCGGTGTGGACCAGTCTACTGAAGACAAGAAAACACAAAATATCATGAAGCAACTAGATTAGTGGACGCTGATGAGTTTAGTACAGCAGCTGCTATCTACCCAACAACAAATTCTCTACACTGATAAATGACGATGACTTTCCCTGAATGCAACTGTAAAAGCTACTTCTAAATTTGGTATGTGACACAAAACTGATTCCCATCGAGGCATTTAAACAATAAATTGGCATGCTTCCCTCCGAATATTCTGATCATATCCAAAATCATCAAATCATATCTTAAGGCTCATGCCCCAAAACGCAGATCGATGACCTACCACACTACAAAACAAACTTAGATCAACCAAAAAAATCTGAACACAAGGTTGACATAAACAAATCAGATGGCAGTTATAGAAACAGTCTTTGAAACACTCTGAAAAATCTTTTGAAAATTTCTTAATAAAACAAATGGAAACTGAAAAAAAAAAAAAGCTCTGGAAGAGTTACAATATGGCCGAGATTATATGGCAGTTGTTCCACCAGCTTGGAAAGGTTCATCTGTTTCACACGGTCATCACACTGATGCAACAGACAGCCAATATCTAGCATTTGGAATCAGTTGTACACCAGCTAGTATTCAGAAAGCCCCATATTTTCATGAATAGAAAACACATGCAAACTTTCATAATCAAGTAACTGAAGCACTGATTGGTCGATACATATAGGTTGTTTTGATGTCACATGTCATAGGATCCTCCAATCATTGTGCAGCGTCTGCAAGCAGTCAGATCTAATTTTAATGAGAGTGACTCAGATAGAAAAAAAACATCTTTCAAAGTCAAAGCTTTATCCTAATGTTTTTTAGGGCTCTTTGCCTCTAGGCAGGAGACCTATTGTAATCGTTTGGATTATTATTATTATTATTTATTATTATTCCGCCGATTTTTGTATCGAACATAACTCCTAAACCAATCCTCCGAATCGCTTACAAAAAATCACACAGATGCGCACTGAGGTGTAGATATTCCC